TGCTCGTAACAGTACTGGAACAATCAGTATTAAATATTATTGTCTGCTCAGGTAAGAGCCGTCATTAATAGATGGACACATGAAGAAAACAAGGTAAAGCCTATGAGGGAGACTCAATCACTCCCTCACTCTTCGCCACATTCTAAAAGACAACACTGTGGCAGGCACTGGGCTGGGCAGGGAGGAAGTGCCTCCGACGAAGTTCCTGTCCTCAACAAGGGGAAGGGAACTGGTATTCCGGGGCATGTACTAGGTGTCAGGGACTGAGGTAGAAAATGATTTCGTGGCAGGGCACGGAGGCTCACACCTGGAATCCCAGCACTTTGGGAGGCTGAGGCAGGTGGATCCCTTGAGATCAGGAGTTCGAGACAGCCTGGCCAACTTGGTGAAACCCCATCTCTACTAAAAATAAAAAAATTAGGCAGGCATGGTGGCCGGCGCCTGTGGTCCCAGCTACTCAGGAGGCTGAGGCAGGAGAATGGCTTCAAGCCGGGAGACGGAGGTTGCAGCGAGTTGAGATCGCACCACTGCACACCAGCCTGGGTGACAGAGCGAGACTCCATCTCAAAACATAAAACAAGAAAATGATCTGCTTTGCTCCTCTTATCAGCAAAGTGCTACGTGTCCGACGAAGGAGCTGAGGCTGACAGCCGGAAAAGGGGCCCTGGGCACCAGTTAGGAAGGGCAGCAGGGACGGCCATGGCTACCCAGCATGTGGCCCCTGCGCCAGTTTCGGGCTGCTCAACTCTCTGCTGTTCTCACCACAAATCCAGCGGGTGGGAAGGCCGCACAGCACCCAGCCAGGCCCGCAGCAGGCATTCGAGAAACGTCTGTCCAACCAAACCGAACGGGACCCCTTCTCCAGGCGTCCCGGGCAATCATCCCAAAGTTGCCGGAGCCAGGCCAGGGCCTGTCCTAGAGGACGGTTCAGATAAAAACGCCCCTGGGAGGTGACCCTCACCCCAGGAGAGCCTGCAACACCCCGACACCCACCACCTCGCCGCCGGTCCCCCGATGAAGCGGGGAGGCTGAGGTGCTGTGACGACCTAACAGTCTTGGCCTGGGCTTATAAACTTGGAAAGTCTAAAGACGTATTCTTCTGAGTACCAAAATATAACTGACGAAAGATGGAACCTCTTAAAATTACATTACCAAAGATAGGTGCTAGGTAGCAAGTTCTCAACCGTGTGTAGTCTGCTAAGGTTTATAAATTAAAACCAAAAACAGAGCGCAGGGGAATGGACGAGGGCCCGCGGGCACCCTCCCTGGGAAGACACAGGCCTGCGGGACAAGAAGAGCAGGCTCAGAGTGGGGCTGCGTCTCCCTGCCCTTCCTCCCGGCGGAACTCGCCCTCCTCACCTACAGGATCGCCCTAAATGCGTACGAAATCCTTCCCTGTTCCCGGTGAGCTGGTGAGAGAGGGCGAGTCGGCCAGCAGGTGCGTCCGTCCCCACTTCCTGCTCGGCCGGGCAGCAGCGGGGCCGGGGGCCTCGGGGAGCCGGGTCGCGGGTCCCGGGACCGCAGTTGCCGGGCGACCGCAGGGGGAGGGGTGCGGGGGCCGCGGGACCCAGGCCCAGGCCCCAGGCCCGGTCGCAACTTTCCTCCCAAAGTTTTCCCGGGGCGCCAGGCTGCGGCCTAGGCCGGGCGCGCCTCCCTGTGGGGGTCGAGGCCGGGGCCGGGGCTGGAGACGGCCTGCGGACCCGGGTCCTGTCCGGCCCGCCCTCCCCTCCCCACCCCGGCCCCAGCCCGCGGCCCAGGTCCCGCAGCTCGCCGGGGTCCCGGGCCTTCGCGTGGCGGCGGCGGGGGCCACTCACCTGGACGCGGGTCCCTCGGTTGCCGGCCGAGCTCGTTGCCGCCCCGCCCCCGCCCCGCAGGCCCGCGACCCACTGACACCGAGGCGGAAGTGCGGCCCGCCGCCTCGCCGACTGACAGCCCGCGCCTGCCACTGGCTGCGCCCGGCGCCGCCGCGTCGGCCGCCGCCCGCCCAATCAGCGCCCGGCCCGAGGCTCGCGCCGGGGGGCGGGACTATGCTAATCCCTTCGCGGAGGGGCCTCTACCTGTGTCCCGCCCACGTAGCGGAGTGACGGCGAGGACAGCCAGTCACAGCAGGAGAGAGGCGGGGTTATGCAGCCCCTGAGCCAAAAGGGGAGGGAGGGAAGGAGGAAAGGGCGTGGCTGCGGAGAGCAGAGTTGACAAACAGTGAGTCAGGTGGCCCGGGGCGTGGGCGCTCCGCCCGCAGGTGCATTGCGTCCTGGCGGCGATGCGGGCCTGCGAGGCCCACCTCTCGGCTACCCAAAGCCCGGGGGGCCTTTTCCCACAAATGCTGGGGACCTTGTGATAACTGGCTCGTAGCTGCTCCCACTCTCCTACCAAATCCTGAATATCCGCCTCCTTTGCATGCCATTTACCGCCAACCAAAATCCAGCGCCAATTTAGCCCTCCAGCTGCATCCCTGATCGTTTCACTACCATACTTAAAGCCCTTTGGACTCTCACTGACCTACAGTGGCTCCATGGTTAAGCCCAGAAGTTCTGGAATCAGACCTGGAGCTTGCATTCTTTACCAGCTGTGTGGATTTGGACAAATTAATTAACCTCTCTGAGTCTGTGTGCACCCGGAGTTTCATTTGCAAACCAGGGTTCCCCTGTCATCATCTCATTTAAGTCATGGTCTGGTTTGAGGTGAGTAGAGTGGCATGAACCAGGCTGGCTACCTAGAGTCCCAGCAGTTGGTTTAGGGGTCAGCCTGTGACCCAGTTCTAGCCAAAGAGGCTCAGTCCTGGGACTTTTGCTGTAGGGTCGGAGTTCAGACCAGAGGGGAAGCTGAAGTCAAATGACTCTCCCATCTGCCCACAGACCTCTCCAGAGCTGGGTTAGGTGAGACAGCGAAGGGGCCACTCTTCCACATCCCACCACCAGAGAACAGGGCTGCGCGAGAATGAAGCCAGCCCAGAGGAAAGCCGAAGCAACCACGGCCAGGTCACGTGGACCCTGCTGCACCTCAGCAGGTGCCTTCCTTGACTTTTCAGTTATGTGAACCACATGCTTGTTTCTGCTTCAGCCCGTTTGAGGTAGAGCCAAGAGTCCTGGGCTCCCTGTGGCCTTGAGAGCCCTGGCGAATGACCCATGACCCCACAGCGCGTTCTGCAGCAGAGCCAGCCCCCGTTGGGCCTCTGCACCCCCTCCTCAGGCCTTGTCCCCCCACTTCCAGGCTGCCCCTAGCAGGACCGTGGGGGCAGGGACAGGCCTTTGCCCCATCTGTGGCCCCGTGGCAGACGCGGGTACTCTCTATCAATGTCAGGGCATGAGTGAGCCAATGAACGCGGCCCCTGTGGCAGGGGCGGGGTCCAGACCACATCTCTGGGCCCAGCAGGGCCATTCTCCCCCACCCCAGGGACTGGCCCCACTCACTGGTGGGCCACTGTCAGCCGGCGCCACTAGAGACGTGCCAGGACTAGGAAGGAGCTGGATGAGCCTCTCCTGAAGAGAAAACGGGGAGGAGGGCGGGCAGGCCTCAGAAACAAAGGGGTTGCCATGGTTACCTCTGAAGAAAGCGACTCCAGCCGGTGAAAGGGAAGGGAAGGCATTCGGCCCCCAAGCCAGGACAAGGACGATGAGGCCAGTTGCCACGGAGATGACCGCACTGCACAGTTTCCCCTGTGGGCCTGGCCAGGGCCAGCGCAGGGTCCCAGAAGCCCACCACTGTCCATGCCCCTCACCCTAAGTCTATAAGACTCTAACCCCTGTGCCCTTGAGGGACTCCAACCTGCCTGCCCACCCCTTGACCATGAGCTCTCCAGTGAGGGCAGCCTCAGAGACTCAGGTAGAAGGACCCTCTCATCTGCCCAGGGACCACCCCAGGGCCAAGCAGGGAGATCCACCCTGGCCTTGGCGGTGGGGGATGTGATCTCAGATGGCCTCTGGGCTGGAACAGAGGTTTCACCCCTCTTGACAGATGCAGTAACTGAGTTCCAAGGGTAGTCTGCCATCAGCCAGCGCTGGAGACGTTCCACGACTGGGAAGGGCACTTCCTCCCTGGGGCCAGTTGCTGGGACTAGGCGAGAATCCTCCCTCGGTTGGTGGGTAATAAGGAGGGTTCCTTGAGACCAACTTAGGCATCTTCATCATGATATTTGCTAGGTCACGAGGCCAATTCGAGAGGCACAGTTCTGCAAGGATGAAAGATGGGAGTGGAGAAGACAACAAAGATGGACGAGCTGGGGCCATGATGATGAAGACGATGATGATGATGATGGCGGCCGAGTGCCCTGTGATTTACAGGCCCATGTGGTTTAATGTTTGCAGCAGCCAATCAAGTGGGTACCAGGTGCTATCATTCCCACTTTACAGATGAGCAGACTGAGCCCCAGACAGGTTAAGGGACTCCCCCAGCCCTGCAATGAGAAAGGGCCCAGCACAGCTCCAGGCACAAGGAGGCACTCCAGGCATGGGGAGGTCTGGTGGACCAGGCCTGGCCAGGAGCTTGTCCACAAGGCAGAGCTCCACCCAGGCTCCCGGACCGGGATCCACACATGAACAGGCCCAGGAGTTCCCATGGCTGTGGCTGCTGCACCCCCACACATGCTCTCCAGAGCCTGAGAAATGCTCATCCTGCAGGTGATTTGGGGGGGTCTGCTCCCACCTGCACTGCTCTCAGACCAAATTTCTGCTTCCTGACAGAATTTCTAGGATCCTCCCTCCGTCCTCTTAGCCAAGGAGGGGAGAAGCTCTCTCCCTCCCTCACCACGGGGCAGGTCACCAGTGGGAGGATTTCATGACCCACATGCCTCCCAGGGCTGGCGTGCGGGGTCCAGCAGTCCCAGCCACATCTATGTCATCCCGCTTCCTTTCCCCTCACTGTGAAGGAGGCGGAAGAGAGGTTGTTGCTCCCACCTTTTGGATGGGGAAACTGAGGCTTAGAGCACAGAAGCAGCTTGCCCAGGGCCTGGCAGCACCAGTCCCGCCCACGACCCACCGCCCTTTCCCCCGCTCCACTCTTACCTCCTCCCCCAGGTTTCTGGGTCTGGGTTTATCTCTTTATCTAGGTCTGCACCCACAGCTGCCCCATTAGATCAAACAGGGGTTGGCTTCCAGGAACGCCGGGTGCCTTGGCATTGCTGGCCTGGCTGGCAGCTGCTGGTTGGTGAGCCCCGGGTGAGGCTGTCTCCTCTCCCCAGGCACTCCCCAGGCCTTTAGAGAGGACATTCTCCCACTCTCTTTTATGGAAAGCCATGGAATCTTCTGTGTGGATGCAGCCTGGGCAGCCAGAGAGGGGTGGCCACTGAGGCCTGGCCCTGGCCCTCACGTGGCCGCAGCTGACCCCTCCCCACCGCAGCTCTCCAGTCTCCTCTGCAACGTGACAGCCCTGGCTTCTCTACCGTTGGGAGGAAGTATTTTTAGTTTTGAACCCACCACGTGAAGCGAGACAAGTTATCAATAGCAGCAGCAAAGGGCTTTTTCTTTCTCTTTTTTTTTTCCCCATATCTTTGGGACCTGAACAATCTGCACCCATTAAATTCTGCCAAAAGAAAAAAATAGTGTTCCTCTTATAAACTTTTTACCCCACAGCTTCCTTGCTGCTGCAGCTTTGCAAACCCACTCTTCCTGGGGTGACCCCACCTGTCTCCACAGCCCCCCTCTCCACTCCTGGGCACTGAGACCTGCCCGGGAACAGGCCCACCTGAGCAGAGGGCCAGCGTGGGGCTCAGGCCACAGCTCCAGAGCAGGTGGAATGAGGAGCTGGGGAGAGGGGAGAAGGCCCCCAGTTTCCCGATCACAGAGCTGGCAGCAGCTGCAGCCTCTCCTGAGTGCTTGCTGCATGCCCAGGGCCAGGCCCAGCTCCTCTGAGTGCAGCAGCTCAGGGACACGCCCCACCCCACAGTGAAGGGCGGAGAAGGCGGCCTTCCCAGAGGTCTTTCCGGCTGTAATTCCTTGTTTCTGGAGGAAGGGGTTCCTCAGTCAAGTGGAGAAAACTAAACAAAGTGAACAGGGGCCCTCCCCAGCCTTAGGCTTCCCAGCGCTCACACCACTCAGGGGCACTTGGAGGCTCCAGGGCCCAGGAACCAGAGCCCGCCCCACTCAGGAGCACATGGCGGCTCCAGGGCCCAGGAACCAGAGCCCGCCCCACTCAGGGGCACATGGAGGCTCCAGGGCCCAGGAAGGGCCTGATGCAGACCCCCGGCATATGAGGATGGAAGCCCTTTTTCTATGAAGTTTCTTTTTTTGTTGTTGTTTTTTTTTTTTTGAGACAGAGTCTCGCTCTGTCACCCAGGCTGGAGTGCAGTGGCGCCATCTCGGCTCACTGCAAGCTCCGCCTCCCGGGTTCACGCCATTCTCCTGCCTCAGCCTCCCGAGTAGCTGGGACTACAGGCGTCCACCACCTCGCCCGGCTAGTTTTTTGTATTTTTAGTAGAGACGGGGTTTCACCGTATTAGCCAGGATGGTCTCGATCTCCTGACCTCGTGATCCGCCCGTCTCGGCCTCCCAAAGTGCTGGGATTACAGGCTTGAGGCACCGCGCCCGGCTCTATGAAGTTTCTTGCAGGACACTGGAGTGGCTTCCTGCCTTGCTGGGGGAAGCATTTGAGCCAACATGGCTGCCTGCCCTTTAGGACTGGTTAGAGCTGCATTCATGAGAAAGCTCAGAATAACAGAGGCTTTGACAGGGTAGAAATGTACTTTTCTCTCAGGTGACACAGGCCTAGGCTGTCCGGCTGGCAGGGTATCATGCATCCTCAGGGACACAGCTCCTACCTTACTGTATTACTCTCCTAGTGCTGGCTTCCAGCCTCAGTGTCACCTTCTGGCCCAAAACAGCTGCTGGTGCTCCAGCCATCACAAGCACAGCTGACCAGAAAGGAGGAAGGAAAAGAGGAAGAGCAAAAGTGCTGCCCCCTAGATGAGTCAGCTCCCTTTGAGGATCTGTCCCTGAAGACACACCCAGCACTTCTGGGTGTGTCACATCTCACTGGCCAGAGCTCCATCCTATGCCACTTTTGGTAGGATAGCAGCATTTTAGCTAAGTGCATTGCCAGCCTAAACAAAACATGGGGCTACAGGGAGCAGGTTAGAGATGGCCTCACAGCCAGGCCTAGACCATCCCAGGCCCAGAAATGTGGACATCTCCGGAAGTGACCCATAGCTGCCCTGCCTCAGAAGAACCGACAGCCGCGGATGCAAGACAGAGCACCTGGTACACATTCCCTGGCATGCCTGTGGCACGAGCGCTGTGCTCCGACCCCATGCCCCAGCGTGGTGCTGCAGTGGCCACTTCAGTGTTGGCCCTGGAGTTTCCCTCTTCCTGGCTGCGCCCTGACTGATGGGAAGTGGGTTCCTGCTCCTTCTCGAAATACCTGTTGAAAACCTGCTGCACTCTGCTGGCCTCACCCTGGGCGCTGGGGTGCCTCCAGAAGCAGGGCACTCACCCCAGAGGCTGCTAGGCAAAGGGCTTTCCTAGCGTGGGAAAGTGGGGGACCCTAGGGAACCTCTGCACCCTTCCTGAGGGCCTGTGTAGGGTGGGCAGGGTGTGGGCACATCCCTGCAGGGAATGGGAGGGGCAGGTGGGAGCCGGAGGAGAGACAGCTGGGCTAGGTTAGATTTAACTTGCTGCGGGAGCCAAGTGCGTTGGCTGGAGCCACTGGCTGGGCCTCAGTGCCAGGGGATCCGCCAGGCATGGGGGTGGGAGGGGCAAAGTTTAAATATGCCTGGGGAGCCAAGATGGGGGCAGAGATGGGGCCCAGGTTGAGGAGCTGCCGGGGGCCTGAGGGCGGCACCATGGGTTTTCCTCGGGAGAGCCCAGCAGCACGCTTGCCCTCAGCTGGAGCTGGGGATGGGAGTTGGGTAAGAGACAGCCAGCCAGAGATTTGGGGTTCTTCTGGGGATGGGTGTACTCCCCCAGTTGCACCCCTGGGAGAGGAGGTCAGGGAGTGGGTGGAGGAGATGGCTGGCGGTCTATGCGTCAGGGGTCACAGCAGGGCACTGCATGCCCAGCCCAGTCCTCATGGTCATGGTAGAGAGGGGTGACCCATGAGGTGGAGCTATACCCACCGGGAGCTTCATGCAGGGCTCACAGCACCCAACCTGTGCTGTCCCATGGCACCTGAGGTTAATTTACCACTCTACCATTCCCATCTTGAAATTCTTCATCATCTTGGGGCAAGGAGCTCACATTTTCACTGTGCGGAGGACCTGGTGAATCCTGCAGCCATCCTGGGCGAGGAGGGTGCGGCCCAGGAAGCAGGGTCCGTGGGGTACCTGGTAAATTCTGCAGCCGTCCTGGGCGAGGAGGGTGCGGCACTGGAAGCAGGGCCCATGGGGTTTCAGCAGTTGCATGCAGTCAGCCAGGTGATGCCATCCCTGCCAGGCATGGTGACAGGCCGGGCGAGCAGGCTGGGCCTGTTCTGGGGAAGAGATGGAGGGGCTGATAAGATGCCCTGTGCTGGGCTCCTGTGCCTGGTGCCAGCCTGCACAAGCTGGGGGAAGGCAGTCTGCCCAGGAGTCCCATGCCCCAGGGCTGAGAGATCCCTGGGGCCAGGGAGGACCATGCTGGCCGATGCTCCCACCTGCTGGCTGGCTTCAGGAAATAGGGGTTCAGTAATGCCCAGGGCATCTGCAGGAGGTGGGTGTGGGTCAGTCTGGGCAGATGGCTGGGAGTTGGGGTGGTACCTGGAGCCCATAGGGGTCTATACCCAGCCTTTGCTGATGGAGGTCCTAGGTGCTGATGGAGGTCCTAAGTAGGCCACAGAGGCACTCGAGCCTCAACTTCCTGGGGGCTTGGTGAGGCTCAGAGGAGGCAGAGCAAGGGAAAGCTGTTTGGAGGGCGTGTGAGCATTGCCAGGGCTCTGCCCAGCATCCACCACATATCCTAGGAACAGCCCTGAATCCTCCTTTGGGAACTACCCATAGGTTGGTACTAGGCTGAGCCCATCTCTTGCCCCAGATAGGGCATGTGACTGGGACCTGGGCATCACTCATCGCCTGGGCATCACTCATCGCCTGGCCATAATCAGTCAGATCATACTTGGGCCCTTCATGGACCCCAGGTCTGAGCTGGGATGTCATCGCCTGGGCATCACTCATCGCCTGGCCATAATCAGTCAGATCATACTTGGGCCCTTCATGGACCCCAGGTCTGAGCTGGGATGTCAGCCTGGAGGTGCCATGCCAAGGGTAAGTGCTGCCTGAGAGGACGGCAGGCTGAGCCCAGGGTGGGGACACCAGTTCTGATGGTAGCCATCGGGCTCCTGGATCCAGCCATGCCTGAAGGAGATGGCACCACCAGTGTACTCTCAGATGCAGGCAAGGTTTCCGTCCTGGTAAATGAAGCACCCTGAGCTCTCTGCCCACCTCGCCGCACAGGGAGAGGACGGCCACCTGTCCCAACCGGCCTCTGACTCCCTCCTCTCCTCATCAGGGCATTCCGGGCTGGGGTCACCCTTCAGAAGAGCACACAGGGGGGCACTCAAGATGCACACCAGGGAGCCCCAGATGTTTCCACCAGGGTCTTTGTGCCACTGGCTCGTCCAGTGCTGCTCAGGTGGGACACAGAGCCCAGGGGACGGAGGAGTTGTCCGATGACCTCACCGCACATCCCTTGGGCACTCCCATCTCTGCTTGGATCAGTTAAGCAACTTCAGAAAAAGTGAGAGGATGATGTGACACCTGGAAGAGGCAGATCCAGGTGAGGTTGGCCAGTGTAGGGCAGAGGGCAGGGGGCAGGGGGACGCACCAGGGTAACAAGCGCCCCGGGGACGTGGACAGCCCTTCCCCCAGGGCCATGGGGAGAGCCCAGCTGGCTCCACCATGTCCTGCAAAGGCAGCCTCTGGCCTGGGTCTAGGAGCTGCGCCTCCATCGTCCTCCATCAAGGCCCGGGTCTGGCCCCTGCTGCCCCCTGCTCATGCCCTTGGTCTGGCCCAGGCATCCAGCTGCCCTCTGCTCATGCCCTTGGTCTGGCCCGGGCATCCAGCTGCCCCCTGCTCATGCCCTTGGTCTGGCCAGGGACCTCGGATTCCCAGCTGCAGCCGGTATGCACCCATGCCACATTGGTGGGTTCCAAGGAAAGTGACATGAGGCCCTACAAAGCTTTTCGGTCCCAGGCACTCTCCCCTGCTCCCCAGGGGACAGCCCAGGCGGGACAGCTTGTTCCCTTGTTTTCTGGTTTTGTGTGTGTGTGAGTGGAAGTGTGTATGGCAGAGTGTGTGTGGGTGAGAGTGTGAATGTGAATGTGTAGTGTGTGTGTGGAATTGTGGGAGTGTGTGTGGAAGTGTGAATGAATATGTGTATGAATGGAAGAGTGTGGAATTGGAAGTGTGTGTATGAGAGTGTAAGTGTGGAAGTGTTCGTGCGTGTGAGTGGAAATGTGTGTGAGAGTGTGTGTGGAATTGGGGGAGTGTGTGCATGTGTATGGAAGTGAATGAGTGTGAGTGTGTGAGTGGAAGAGTATGTGTGGAATTGGGAGTGTGTGTGCGTATGGGTGTGAGAGTGTGAGTGTGGAAGTGAGTTTGTATGTATGTGTGAGTGTGTGAGTGGAAGAGTGTGGAATTGAGGAGGAAGTGTGTTTGAGAGTGTGTGTGTGGAATGAGGGAAGTGTGTACATGTTTGAGTGTGTGTGTGGAATGGGGGAAGTGTATGTGTGTGTGGAATTGAGAAGTGTGTGAGTGTGTGTGTGTGTGGAATGGAGGAAGTGTGTACTGTTTGAGTGTGAGTGTGTATGTGTTTGTGGAATAGAGGGGGAGGTGTGTGTGTGTGTAATGGGGAAGTGTGTACGTGTTTGTGATTGTGTGAGTGTGGAATGGGGGCAGTGTGTATGTGTTTGTGTGTGGAATTGAGGGGGAGGTGTGTGTGTGTGGAATGGGAGAAATGTGTACGTGTTTGTGAGTGTGTGTGTGTGGAATGGGGGAAGTGTATGTGTGTATGGAATTGAGAAGTGTGTGATTGTGTGTGTGGAATGGGGGAAGTGTGTACTGTTTGAGTGTGAGTGTGTATGTGTTTGTGGAATTGAGGGGGAGGGGTGTGTGTGTGTAATGGGGAAGTGTGTACGTGTTTGTGATTGTGTGAGTGTGGAATGGGGCAGTGTGTGTGTGTATGTGGAACTGAGGGGGAGGTGTGTGTGTGTGGAATGGGGGAAATGTGTACGTGTTTGTGAGTGTGTGAGTGTGGAATGGGGCAGTGTGTATGTGTTTGTGTGTATGGAATTGAGGGGGAAGTGTGTGTGAGAGTGTGTGTGTGGAATGGGGGAAGTGTGTATGTGTGAGTGTGTGAGTGTGGAATGGGGGAAGTATTTTGTGTGTGGAATTGAGGGGAAGTGTGTGTGTGAGAGTGAGTGTGTGTGTAGAATGGGGAAGTGTGTATGTGTGTGTGAAATTGAGGGGAAGAGTGTGTGTGTGTGTGGAAGGGGGAAGTGTCTAAGTATGTGTTTGAGTGTGTGTGTAGAATTGAAGGGAAGTGTGTATGTGTTTGAGTGTGAGTGTGTGTGTGTGGAATGGAGGGAAGTATGAATGTGAGTGTGAGTCTTTGTGTGTTTGTGGGATGAGTGTGTGTGGGATGAGTGTGTGAGTGAGTGTGTGTGGGATGAGTGTGTGTGTTGAGTGTGCGTTGAGTATGTGTGTGGGATGAGTGTTGTGTGAGTGTATGTGTGGGATGAGTGTGTGAGTGTTGAGTGTGTGGGATGTGTGTGAGTGTGGGGGGATGAGCCTGTGTTTGTGTGTGATGAGTGTGTGTGTGGGATGAGCGTGTATTTGAGTGTGTGTGGGATGTGTGTGAGTGTGGGGGGATGAGCCTGTGTTTGTGTGTGATGAGTGTGTGTGTGCATAGGATGAGTGTGTATGTGAGTGTTGAGTGTGTGTGTGAGTGTTGAGTGCGTGGGATGAGTGTGTGTGTGGGATGAGCGTGTATTTGAGTGTGTGTGGGATGAGTGTGTGTGTGGGTGTGGGATGAGTGTTGAGTGTGTGAGTGCGAGTGTGGGTGTGTGAGTGAGTGTGTATGGAAAGGCGTGCGGGCAGCAAGTGACAGTGATTCGTGCCCAGACCCAGGGGAGGGGGGTCTGCCTCTAGAGCGATTCTCGACCCCTGCCCTGGCTCAGGGCTTTGTGGAGGGAAGGACTGTTTCTCCCACCCTGACCTGTCCCTTGCAGGGCGGAAGGGGACAGTGTCAGTTTCCTCCTAATACCTCTCTCACAGCTCGCACCAAACACCCTCAGACACACCCACAGACTCACAGACGCATGTGCACACACACATAGCCCAGAGAGACACGCACAGACATACCCGGATGCACGCAGTCGTGTACATTGACAGGCACATAGACCCACGCACGCACACGCATGCATCCCTTGCCTGCTTCTTGGGAGCCCCCATCCTTCCTCACCCAGGACACAGGGGCGCGCCCACATTCACTGGATCCCAGCCCCAGCACTGATCAAATCTGGGTTAGTTTTTCCAGCAGGCACCAGTTCCCCAGGAGCTGCCCTGGATCTGGAGGACTCCAGGGAGTCAATAGAGAGGGCCGTCCCGTCCCTGTCCCCATCTCCGTCCTCATCCTCATAGGGCCCAGACTCCTCCAGGACTAGGCTCCCTGAGCCCACCTGCACCGCTCAGCCCCTCCACCGGGCGCCTCTTTCCGACCTTCTGCAGGGGAAGAGGGCCCAGGGCTCCAGGAGGGGTCGGGGCTGTGTTTGCCCTAGGGGTGAGAGCATACACTACCTGGGACAACGGTCAGCAGCTCCGGGAACAGCACAGGCAATGGGAAGACCTGGAGTAACCCTGAAGGCTTCGGGGAGGAGGCACCTACGGGGGCAGGTGCCAGGTGGGGCGGAGCCTGAGGGGCGTGTGTCTGGGGAGGGGCATGGAGGTACAGGAGGCGGGGACAGAGGGAGGAGGAGGGGCCACCTCCCCACCAGGCTTCAGGTTCCAGGGTAAAGCCGGCCTCTCAGCCTTACACCGAGAGCCTTACACCGAGAGTGGATCCAGGCAGCAGCTGGACGGGGGCCGGCCTGCCCAGTACTCACCTTGGGCCTCCAGTGTGCCCGCCCCGTGGCCATCCTTGCTTCCTCCCCAGACAGACTGCCCCACCCAGGCGGGAGGCAGGGGGTGGACAGAGATGGGGCTAGCCCTCCAGCAGCCCTGGGCACTGTGTGCTGGCCACACGCCCCACGTTCTTGTCTGTCGCCCTCCACTAGATCCACCAGGCACCTGCCTGTGCTGACCTCAGCTGCTGGAGGGGAGGGCCCCACCGGCCCGTGTGTGGAGCAGTCGGGAGCACGTGGCCCCTGGCTGGCCTGCCTAGCCTTGCGCCCTGGCTGGGGGTCTGCAGGATGGACCAGGGTCACCAAGCCTGGTCCCCACTGCTGGGACGTAGGTTGAGGGGGTAGGCAAGGTGTTCGGGGCAGACACCGCAGGGTTTCAGGGCACCCTGGCATGGGAAGCAGGAGGAGCTGGATGCCAACCAGTTTGAGGTTCCAGACATCCCCCTCCCCCAGGGCCTGTCCCTACTTCTGGCCTGGCCCAGCGGCCCCCTGGCTTGACGCTTACCACTGTTCAGGGCCTGATTCACCCCCAGGCACTGGCAGGGATGGGGGCTCATGGCCTGGGTTTGGCTCGGAGACCCCCAGGCAGTGCTGCTCTGCTGGATTATAGCCACAGGAGGTCCCACCAAATGCTCTTAGGGATGGGGTGAGGGCTCCCGGGCTGTGGCTGGGCCCCCCACAGCTGGACTTGGGTTTGGGGCCAGGTCCCAGATGCCCTGGAGCCCTCTCGGTCCTTCGGAGGGTTCTGGAAAAGCACAGTGGAGACCGTTCTGCTTTCTGTCTTCTTTTCTGTTTTCTCTATCACGTCTTCATTCTTAGCCCACGGAGGGAGGCTGCACAGATGCAATCTGTTCCATTCATTCAGCAAATACTTCTCAGCCAGCCCTGGGAGGTGCACACTGCGCGCCAGCAACAGTCTGGTTCACACGGAGGGACTTTCTGGGGAGGTAGGAGCTCCTTTCCTCAGGCAAAGATTTTTCATTCCTCCAGTTTCTCCGGCAGCCTCTGCACTCACTGGGCTGTTGACCCTCGGATCAGACCTGGGTCCTCAAGACCTCCTGCAGGCACCACCTCCTCCAGGGAGCCCTCCTAGGATCACCCCTTCTCTCGTGCTTGATGTCTCCACCAGGCGCCATCCTTAGGAGGGAAGAGTGCTGGGTCAGGCTCCATTCAGTTCTTCACTCTCCCTGCCCCAACCTCTGCCCTCGGACCCAGGCTCCGGGGCTCAGCAGGCCCCCGGGCTCAGCAGGAAGAGTTGAGGTGTGATTGGAGCTTGGTTTTCTGGGGGCCGCTGTCCTGGCCTGTGGTGTGGGTGTGACCCTGCCTCTTTCTTTATTTTTTGTAGAGACGGGGTCTCTCTATGTTGCCCAGGCTGGTCTTGGGCTCCTGGCCTCAAGCAATCCTCCTGCCTTGGCCTCCTGAAGTGTTGGGAGTACAGGCATGAGCCTCCATGCCCAGCCTGTGACCCTGTCCCTTAAGCTGGCTGTATCAGCCCTGGGTGAGCAGGGAGCAGACCCCGAGGGGCCTGCAGGCTTTCTTCCTACGGATGGACCACGGCTGTCTCTACAGCCATCCTGCCTGGGCCCCTTGAGACCTGCCAAGCTGCCATCACCCATCACTGCCCCTCTGCCTGCTCTCTCAGCCTCACTTCTCACAGGAGCCAGGCAGCAAGAGACACAGATGCCCTGACAGAGGGTCATCTCTGCAGTCACACTTTCCCCACCACCCCCACCACGGCCAGGCTGTCTGTGCCCAGGCCCCCTGTCCCAGCAGGATGGCGCTTGGACCCCTGAGGCATTGCTAGGAGATTAAGCAGGGGCTCCTCACAGGGACCCCAAGGCAGCTGCAGGGATGACCACCACTGCTCCCCTCCACTTCTCATGCATCCTCAGCCAGGGTTTGACTCCACTGTTGTGAGCTCAGGCATCACAAGTGCCTGAGTCAGGCCAATGCCAGGCCAGAGCGACTGATCCTGGGGTTCTGTTAACTGAAAGGCAGCCTCCTCTCCTGCCTGGGGATGGAGGAGGGGACAGGGGAGTCACTTGGAGCCGCAGGGAGAGACCTCAGGAAGATACTCCGTGCCTGAGGGTGAAGCACACACAGGATAAGATGACATGGAGGGAGCAGCTGTACTTGAGCCCAGATGCAGCTGTGCCTGAAACTCACTGCCCTGGACTTCGTGGGCACAGAAAACAGCACATGCTCCTTGTCCTTAGGCCCTTTGGAGTTGGGCTCTGTCACTTTCAACCAAACTATAGCAACTAATATCTGGCTCTCCCGTTCTCTCTGTCCTTCCCACCACCGAAGCCTTGAGCCCAATTCTGTCTGGTCTGCAAAGGCAGGTAAACCAGACTCAACTTTTTATTCCAAGTCGGTGGCCTCAGACGCCATTCTTGTCACACCCAGGCCCTGAGCTCGTCAGGATGCACCCGGAGCTGGCTCAGAATGTCACGGGGGAAAAAAAGGCATGGAACAAAAAAAGAAAAATTTACATTCCCAAATTCAAATGAGCTCCTGCAGAAAGAGAGAAAGCAAATATGAGTTCCTTGGAAGAGGCGGCACAGTGCTGGCCCCAGACCCCCACAGGTGCCTTGGCTGTAACCAGCAGGACAATTGTCCTGCACTGGCCCTGGCGGCCCTGCGCCTCACCCCCATATTACTCACCAGCAGCTGTGTCCCCATGCAGCAGAGACAGAGCACTGCAGGGACAGCACCTGGGCACACCATCAGCTCCAAAAAGAAGGGTCTTTTCTGGGCACCAGAGATGCTGGTGGCAGAGCTGCTCTCCCGACGGCACAGGGTGATGGGACAGCATCCTGCTGTCCGCTGCTGTGACACCAGCATGGCCACCAGCCCAGAGCTCCTCTCATCCCAGCCCCTGACTGCCCATTTGACCAGTCTCATCTCTTGAACATCCACGTGGCAGTTCAACCTCGACACCCTCAACAGGGCACCTCTTCGTCCCCCAAACCTCTCCCTCTGGTTCATTGTCAGCACCTCCTTTGAGGCGTTTGAGCCCAAATTGTGGAGTTGGGCTGGGCCCCTCGCCTCCTCTGCCCTCTCATACCTCACATGCCAACCCACGTCACAATCCGCCCAGGTCTGCCTGCCCCCACTGCCACCGCCACCATCGCCTCCCACCTGGAGTCTTGCAACGCCTCCCCTGTGGTCTCTCTGCCCTCATCCACCTAGAGACCACTCTCCAATGCAGTCAGGGGGTCCCGTAAAAGTGTTCCCCAGGCCCTCCTGGAGCACCTGTCCAAGAAAACACCAGCATCCTTGCAGCAGCTCAAGGGGCTACAAGACCTGCCCCTGGAACGCACTTCCCATGCCCCCGCCTGAGCTCCAGCCGCATGAGCTTCCTCGTTGTCCCTGGAACACGAACGTGGTCCACCCCTTGCCCTTCACTCCTGCTGTTCCCCTTCCTGGAACTCTGCTCCCTCCAATATCCACCTCCCTCTCTTCCCCCTTTGCTCATGTGTCTCCTCAGTGGAAGCTCCCTGGCCACCCTTTCAAAATTGGAACCTGGGCCGTGTCAAGGTGGGTCCTCCAGGAAGCAGATGCTGAGACAGCACGGGAGGTAGAGAGATGTGTTGGGGTGAGGCCTGTGAAGGATCAGGGGTCAGGGCACAGGGGCAGCTGAGCTGGGGCCCCACCTGGCATGCGTTCCCTCCCTCCCTCCTGCACTCTCCCACCTCGGCTGTGGCCACTGCAGGTCCTGGAGGCTCACGCTCCTTCCCTGCGCCCTGGCCACTGGACTTTCTCAGGCTGGGGTGGCCGCATTTGTCCATGCACAGAAACAATTGGGCCGGGGGTGCCATGGCGCCCAAGAGGGCCCTGAGTCTCACACTCAGCCCCTCCCACCCTCCTCTTCTGAAAACAGCGTCCCCACCTCCTCCTGCTGATCAGGGCCACTCACCCTGACAGAAAGGTGGCTCCTTGTCTTGTCTGCTAGAGCTCAGGAGCTCAAAGTGCCTGGGAGCCATCCACAGCTGTATCCCCAGTGAGCAGGTCCATCCCCAGTGAGCCATCCCCAGTGTATCCCCAGTGTCCCTCAGAGAGGAGAAGCTTGAGCCCTGCAGAGCCCAGAGTCTGGAAAGCACGGATTCCCCTGATGGATGCCAGACGGAGCCCCTCCTGCTCCTTCCCTGGTCCTGAAGGCCTATAGTCTTCTTGTTGGTAGACGCGGCACCATGGAAAGGTCTCTGCTCTGTCATCCTTGTCTGCAGGGCAGCGCCAGCCTCAAAGGTGAGTGCCCCGGGCTGGTGTGCCTCCGGAGGCTGCTTCTGGGTGGTGTGGCAGGCCAGACCCTGGTGGGCCCATGGCCAGGGGGCCATGCTGGCTCCGACTTCATGGGAAGAGGGTCCCCTGGCCAGATGCCACACTGTAGGAGTCTCTGCCTGTGGATCTGGAGTCCATAGGCCCCTGGATTGCAGTGTAGGCTCAACAGGCAAGAGAGGCCACACCTAGAGCAGGTCTGTGGCCCATGAGGACTAGGGGAAGGGGACCCATGGAGCCAGCTCGCCAGCAGCTATTTGCTGTCCTCAGAGAATGTCCCCTACTTGGGGCTGGGTGTTGAACACTTGTTGGCGGTCAGACATTCAGAGGCAGCAGCAGCAGATGGGCCTTGGGAGGTGGGGGTCGGTGCCCTTCGGCCCACACATAGCCTCCAGGGTGGCCACTGCACTCAATGGGGCCTCACTGCACTCACCTCGAACATCCCAGTTCGAGGGTGGCCAATGACAGCGGCTTGCTAATGTCATGTCTTCAGGGTGGATGGCTTCTGGTGGGTGTTTGCTTGTGATACGAAACCAACAAGCTAGGCCCATAGTCACTTGGCCATCCACATGGCTCTGACCCAGAGCTCCTGTCTCCATCTCTAGTCCTTTTTCTCCCCTGCCCGGACCAGCCTGACGGGACATTGGCCTCTGCCCATGAATCCAGGGATGGTCTCCCCTGGCCACTTTCTTTTTCCATCACAAGGTACACAACATAGCCACTCCCTGGGACAGAGCCTCCCAGGGCTAGACAGGCTACACAGGGACCAGCACATACACTCTGCATTGCTGTGGCCGCATCAGGCTCCAGCCCAGAGGACACTGCCCTCCTGTTTGGGCAAGGACATGGGCCTCTCGTATGGCTGCTGGTCACCCTGGTGCGCTTGCTGACCTCAGGTTGGGCTGGACATGTGGCCATGGGAGGGGGTGGGCCTGCGTGACCTCGGGCAAGGGGCTCACCAGCGCTGCAGGGCGGCAAGTCCTGCCCAACTTTATGGCCTTGCAGGGGCTGGTGAGGTCAGATACCAAGCACTCCCACCGAGTCTGGTCGATAGGGGGCGTCCACGGCCGCCAGCCACGGTCATGATCAGACCTCGGGGCCAAGCCAGGCCCTCTCCTCTCCAGGCAGCCTCCATTTACAGCAGCTCAGAGAAGTTTGGTAACTCACCCAGGGTCACACAGCTGGGTCCCCACTGCCAGGAGTTGAACCCCGGGGCCTCCTTCTGACTTCCCACGAGGGTGCCCTGAGGTGACCCACAGGCATGTGATGGATATGTGTCACCACTGTGGTGATGGGCTGCAGAAATGGGTCTCCTGGCCGATGCCATGCTGTGTGGGATTCCCCGCCTGTGGGTCCAGATTCCATGGGCCCCTGGGTCTTGGTGCAGCCTCTGCAGGGGTTTCAGAACAGCTGTAGGGCAGGTGTGGGCTGAGCTGTCCCCCCTGAGGCTGTGGGGCAGAGAAAACACCATGAAAGCCCCTTCTGTCTGGGTCGTCTGGCCCAGGACGGCACTGCCCAGGCTCTCCAGGGCTGGTCAGTTCACGGGGAAGCCTGGGCAGCTGTGGATGACAGGGGAGGAGGGGTGGGGAGGGAGAATGACTGGGCCGGCCTCCAGACCCCTTCATCCTTGGTTCTGTTTGGGGCTCCAATTTATATTCCCCATTCCAAGATGGGGACACTGAGGCTCCAGCCAGGGAAGGAGAGAGCCAGGGCCCCCTCTTAACCCCCACCCAATGCCATCTCCTGCAGCCTCAGTGGGTACTTGGGGAGGAGAAGGGCTTGGGGAGGAGTTCACTCAACAAGAAGTTGCTGGTTTGGGTGGGGACAGTGAGTCAAGGGCTGCAGCAGGGCTGGGTGGCAGCTCTGATGGCCCCACAGCCCCTTGCTGCCCAGTTCCATGAACTTTTCCCTTTGAAAACTTTTCCCTGGTCCAGGCACAGCCCCTCCTCACTGGGTGAGTTAGAGGTGCAGGGAACCTGGGGGAACCAATATGAGGAGAGGGTTTGCAGGTGGAGTGGGATGAGTACAATCGAGTAGTCAGAGAGGGAAGCCGAACCCCTCCCCTCAGAGCAGACTCCTAGAAGCCATGGAATAGTGGGCTGGCTGGGGCCACTGGTCTGGGGGTTCCTCTCTGCAGTCAGCCCGGAGGTGGCAACAGAGGAATCCCAGCCCCTCTCTCCCCAAAGTTTGTGAAGCGCCACTTGGGGTGAGGGGAAGGGGTAGGTCCCCACAGGATGGGGAAGCTGCTATAAGTAGGGGATTGACGGTGCACGTCAGTGCCTGGGGTCCCCTCTGAAGCCCCTCCCCCAGACACGCGCACTCTGCCATCTTTGAGGCACCAGGGTTGCCTTCGGCTGGCGACAGAGCAGAGTTGCTGCTTCCCTCTCCTGGGGCTCAGCTCCCTCCCTGCCTGCTGTCTGATGTGTGTCTTACTGTTGGTGGGTCTCCAGCCTGGCTCTGGTGGCTGCTTCCCTGGCTTGTGGGTGTCTGTGTATCTGAGTGTGGGCTTGTCTGTCTGTCTGCCCTGAGTGTTTCAGGCGGAATCTGTCCTTGACCCGGTGTATTTGAGCGCATGTGTCTGGTAGTGGGGGCGCTCCCTCCTGCCACCTCTCCTCTCCTCCCCCATCACTTCCCACAGGCGCTGACACAGCCACCACCTGCGCCCTGAGCGCAGTGACCTCGTCTGTCCGCTGCAGTGGCGACTGCCCCTCTGTCCACGGGGGTCCGTGGCTGGGCTCCAAGCGGCTTGCTGCTCCCTCCTCAGCCTGAGGCTGCCGGAACCCGGGCTAGACGCGCTCCCCTCCGGCTGGGTCCGCGCGGCGCCTCATCTTCCCTTATGTAACTCCACATCTGCCTGCGCCTTGCAGGTCACCCTGGACCCTGCACTGGGCCCTGTCCACAGGGAGGCTGGCACCCCTAGTCCGTGCAAACGGGAGGTGGAGCGGACCCCTGGTCTGGGCACCGGCTTTCCAAGACCCCCTCCTCCCCATCCCTTCTCCAGACGTTCCTTCCGCCGGAGACCCACATTCCCAAAACATGCACTGAGGAAATGCCCCACAGGGCAAGTTCCCCGGAGCGCGGGTGCAGGCGTTTCTCCCACCCCCACCCCGGGTCCCCACAGGCGCCAGGGCTCCCCATGATGACTGGGTAGGGGTCCCCAGGGCCGAGGGCACGGGAAAGGCCGAGCAACCCAGACCCCGGCTCCGAGTGCGCGGGCTGGCTGACCGCAGGCGAGCCCCCAGACCCGGTCAAGTCCCGGCCGGGCTCCCAGCCAGCTGCCGTGAGCGCAGGGGCTGGGTTCCAGCCTGCCTGGCGGGCACGCGGCGCTGTCCGTGGTGCTGCCGGCGCCGGGCGGGGCGGGGGCGGGGCGGGGGCGGGGCGAGGGCGGCAGCCAATGGCGGGGGCGCTGCGCGGGGCGCGCGGGGCGGTGGGCTGGGCGCGGGGCGCACTCGGCTGCGCGTTGCGCTCCGAGTGCTCGGTCGCGCCGGCAGCGGCTCAGGCTCCGGCTTCTCTCCCGCTGCAGCAGCAGCGCTGCTGGCCCCACTAGGCTCTGATCTGGCCCCGGCCCCCTCGGCACCGCCCGCCCTGGCCCTGGCCCCAGCCCCCCGGACCATGCGCTGGGCGCCTCCCGGGGAACCCCACCCGGCCAAGGGCCCGCAAAGACGAGGCTCCCGGGCCGGGGCCCCTCCGGCCGCCCACCTCTCGACTGGCGCCCTGCCCCGCGTCCCGGAGCCGCGTGAGCCTGCGGGGCCATGGAGCGCGCGCCGCCCGACGGACCGCTGAACGCTTCGGGGGCGCTGGCGGGCGAGGCAGCGGCGGCGGGCGGGGCGCGCGGCTTCTCGGCAGCCTGGACCGCGGTGCTGGCCGCGCTCATGGCGCTGCTCATCGTGGCCACGGTGCTGGGCAACGCGCTGGTCATGCTCGCCTTCGTGGCCGACTCGAGCCTCCGCACTCAGAACAACTTCTTCCTGCTCAACCTTGCCATCTCCGACTTCCTCGTGGGTAAATCCCCAGCCCCCGGCCGCCGTGGGACCCAGGGGCGCCCAGCGTGGCCGGGCCAGCGGGGACTGGAGCACGGACCTGGGTGGCTCCCGCAGGCACACGCCCCACCAGGGGACCCGGCCTGGGAAGGGGGTGTCCGGCGCCCATGGTGTGGGGGGCACAGGCGAAGTTCCTTGCCACTCAGGCCTCGGGACAGGGGCTGGAGAGAGCTGTCCCTGGGAAGGGACACAGGCACTGGGCGAGGCGCAAGGCGCAAAGGCAGCGGGTGCAGCCCTGGTTCCTGCGCTGTAGCCAAACAAAGGCTGCTGCGGACTTAGGACGCGCGCGGAGGGCGCAGTGGGGAGGTTTAGAGAAGGTCTGGGGGAGGGGACATGGAAGGGGGATTTTTAGAGCTGTGCTGGGGGAGGGGACCGTGGGGAAGGTGGGGGTTGGGGTAGACGCTGGAAGGAGCGCGCTCTCACGTGTCCAGGCTCTGCTGCCGGCTGGGGGGGCGGGGCACGCGGAGGGGGCTGGAGTGCCAGACACCTGTTGGGGCTGTGAGGTGCGTCTCCCAGACGCTCCAAGCCCGCTTGGCAGTAGTAGTGGCGGCTGCTGGCGGCGGCAACCAAGTGCCCTTTCAGCCGGGAAAGCCTTTCCTGCTGTCTAAGCTGAGAGGGAGGGCTGCCCAACGCCAAGGTAGGGCTGGAGTCCAGCGGGGGGAGGGGAGAAGGAAATTGTCTTCTTTCCTCCTTTGAGGGCTGGGAGGGCTGGACAGAAGTCCAGGGAGTCCCGACTCCAGGCTCTTGGGGTCTTGTGGTGGCCAGAGTTCCCCATGCCGGATCGTCTCTCCTGCTCCCAGGCCCAGGGGACACCGGAGGTGCTGGGAGCTATGTGGGGGTGAAGGCTGGTGGCAGGGCAGAGTTTGTGGCTGACACCAGGTGGAGGGGGCGGTAAGATGAGGATGGCTGGTCCCAGAAAAGCAGCCCAGGTTCCGTGGTGTCTGTGCTTAGGTGGGTCTGTCCCCTGTCCCCTGGCTGCATGGTCCCACTGTGGCCCTACTCCCCACAGGCGCCTTCTGCATCCCACTGTATGTGCCCTATGTGCTGACCGGCCGCTGGACCTTCGGCCGGGGCCTCTGCAAGCTGTGGCTGGTGGTGGACTACCTGCTGTGCACCTCCTCCGCCTTCAACATCGTGCTCATCAGCTACGACCGCTTCCTGTCGGTCACCCGAGCCGTGAGTCCCGGGCTGCGGAGCCCCTGCTCACTCCTGAGGGACAGTCGGGACGCCCATGGGAGGCATCAGGGTGGGGACGGCTGCTTCTGAGTTGCAGAAGTGGGCTTGGTCCCACTGATTTTGCTGCTGACACATGGGCCACTCGATGGCCAGCTGCCCACTCCGGGCCATGGCTGCAGCCAGACTGTCCTGGCCCAGGCAGGAGGCAGGGAATCTGGATGCAGATGTTCCTGAAGGCAGGGCTGTCACTGCAGCCCCCGCCCTGGGGCAGGTCCACAGTCCCCAGAGTTACGGGAGGATCTGGGGCCAGAGGCCCTGGGTGACCACAGTCTCCAGAGTTAAGGGAGGATCTGGGGCCAGAGGCCCTGGGTGACATCCCTCACACATGCGTGTGTGTGCAAGCGTGCACACACACACAGGCCCCGGGAAGGCAGGCGGCAGATCCTGGCTCCACAGATTTCCCTTTGTGGGAGCGGCCACCTGGGTCAGGGACTCTGCCCCACCCGGGCTCCTGTATCAGGGCCATGCAGCCCATGGAGCCGCTGCTGAAGTCACTCCTTCCCCTTCTCATCTCCTTGGCAGCTCACCTCCACAGGGCTTTATGGGGCCTCTGCAGGACTGAGGGCAGGCTGTTTCGTTCTAGACTAGAAAGGCCAAGAGACAGGGTGCAAAGAGCATGCATTTGGGGTCCTCTTGAGCCCATCCCCCTGTGGTCTCTCCCTCCTTTCCTGGAGCCACCAGGCATGGGGCACAAGGAGAGCTGCCACGAAGGGTAAAGCGGCCAAGCAGAGAGCCTGGCATGGGGGTGCTCTGCCCACCTCTCATTAGCAATAGCTGTAAACATTGCTCCCGCTCTCACCAAGGTAAATGCCATCAGGCTTGTGGGGGAGGGTGGCAGGGGTTCTCAGGTCCTCCTCCTCCAGCTGTCCTACCTGGGACCCCTCAATGGGATCCCTTGGCCCTCCTGCCCCCTGCCCCCACCAGCTGGTTGCTCTCTGCCCTGGGGAGGGCCCTGCCCTCCCTCCCTGTTCTGTCCCAGAGGCCCTGATGTCGATCTGGGATGCTTTGTTCTGTGGCGGGGCGGGGGATGTCTCCCAGCAGTGGGCCAGCTTGTGGCTTCATTCCTGCACTTCCAGCTCCCAGGGGTGCGAGCACCTGCGCAGGAGTGGGGCTGGACCTCCCACCCCAACCTCTGGAGATGGCTCGGGCCTTTGCAGGATCAGGATGCATCATGTCAGAAACAGCTGTGTGCGCGTGTGGTCTGGGGCCCATGCTGAGTCTGGTCCCAGGGGTGCAGGGGCCAAGGACAGGACCCTCAGGGAGCTCACAGCTCGTAGGGGGGTGGTAAACAGGCAGCCTACAGAGAGTGAGGATTTGGGTTGGTCCCAGGGAGCTTCTGAGACTCTCACTGAGTGTGGCAGGGCACTAGCCTGGGACCCCAGTGGGGAGGGTTAGGGGAAGAGAGGGGAAAGAGGGAGGGAGGGAGGGAGGACAGGAGCGGAAGGGAGGAGCATCCTGCTGAGGGAATGGCCCACACAGGGTCCCACAGGCTGCAGGGGCACACCCAGTCCAATACTCCTTCCGCCCCGCCCCTGACCAGCCTGCCTGTCTGTAGGTCTCATACCGGGCCCAGCAGGGCAACACGCGGCGGGCGGTGCGGAAGATGCTGCTGGTGTGGGTGCTGGCCTTCCTGCTGTACGGGCCGGCCATCCTGAGCTGGGAGTACCTGTCCGGGGGCAGCTCCATCCCCGAGGGCCACTGCTACGCTGAGTTCTTCTACAACTGGTACTTCCTCATCACGGCCTCCACCCTGGAGTTCTTCACGCCCTTCCTCAGCGTCACCTTCTTCAATCTCAGCATCTACCTGAACATCCAGAGGCGCACCCGCCTCCGGCTGGATGGGGCTCGAGAGGCAGGTGGCCCCGAGCCCCCGCCCGAGGCCCAGCCCTCGCCACCCCCACCGCCTGGCTGCTGGGGCTGCTGGCAGAAGGGGCACGGGGAGGCCATGCCGCTGCATCGGTACGGGGTGGGTGAGGCGGCCGCGGGCGCTGAGGCTGGGGAGACAGCCCTCGGGGGTGGCGGTGGGGGTGGCTCCGCGGCCTCACCCACCTCCAGCTCCGGCAGCTCCTCGAGGGGCACTGAGAGGCCGCGCTCACTCAAGAGGGGCTCCAAGCCTTCGGCATCCTCGGCCTCGCTGGAGAAGCGCATGAAGATGGTGTCCCAGAGCTTCACCCAGCGCTTCCGGCTGTCTCGAGACAGGAAAGTGGCCAAGTCACTGGCCGTCATCGTGAGCATCTTTGGGCTCTGCTGGGCCCCGTACACGCTGCTGATGATCATCCGGGCCGCCTGCCACGGCCACTGCGTCCCTGACTACTGGTACGAAACCTCCTTCTGGCTCCTGTGGGCCAACTCGGCAGTCAACCCTGTCCTCTACCCGCTGTGCCACCACAGCTTCCGCCGAGCCTTCACCAAGCTGCTCTGCCCCCAGAAGCTCAAAATCCAGCCCCACAGCTCCCTGGAGCAGTGCTGGAAGTGAGCGGCCTGCCAGAGCCTCCCTCAGCCACGCCCCTCTCAGCCCAGGTCTCCTGGGCAGCTGGCCCCGCTGCCCCCCACCTGGCTCGTTCCCCCAGGGGTGGGCCCCGCCGTGTCTGTGGCCCTCTCTTAATGCCACGGCAGCCTCTCTTGGGCCACCCGCCCCGCCATGGAGGCACCTTCCTGGATTGGCCAGAGGGCCCCTCACTGGCTGGACTGGAGGCTGGGTGGCCGGCCCTGCCCCCAACACTCTGGCTCCACTGGGAGGGACAGTCTGGAGGTCTCAGACATGCTGCCCACCCCCCGCCGGTGTCCACCCTTCGCAGTTACTGGTGTTCTTCCCGAAGCAAGCGCCTGGGTGTGCTCCAGGCCTCCTGCCCTAGCAGTTCGCTCTGCACGTGCACACACCTGCACACCGTCCCTCTCCCCAGACAAGCCCAGGACACTGCCTTTGCTGCCTTCTGTCTCCTGCATAAGCCTCGGCCCTGGCCCTTTCACCTGTCTTCCCACCGACTCTCTCTGCCCCCAAAGTGTCAAGGGGCCCTAGGAACCTTGAAGCTGTTCTCTGCTTTTCCATTCTGGGTGTTTTCAGAAAGATGAAGAAGAAAACATGTCTGTGAACTTGATGTTCCTGGGATGTTTAATCAAGAGAGACAAAATTGCTGAGGAGCTCAGGGCTGGATTGGCAGGTGTGGGCTCCCACGCCCTCCTCCCGCTGCTAAGGCTTCCGGCTGAGCTGTGCCAGCTGCTTCTGCCCACCCCGCCTTTGGGCTCATGCTGGCCCTGGCGGCCAAGCCTGCCCTGGCCACTCTGTTTGCTCGGCCAGGACCTCTAGGGGTTGTTGGGAGGAGGGGGTCCGGCCGGGCCTGAGGGTCCCAAGGCGGGCAGGGGTGGTCCAGAGGAGGTGCCCAGGCAGGGGCCGCTTTGCCATGTCCTGTGCACCCGTGCCACGCGCTCTGCATGTTCCTCTGCCTGTGCCCGCTGCGCTGCTCTGCAAACTGTGAGGTCACAATAAAGTGTATTTTTTTATTGGTGCTGATTCCTGAGGACTTTGTGGGGTGATCAGAGCCTTCGTGCTTTGAGGAGAGACTCCAGGGAGATAAGAAACCACTGAGAGACATGCGTGAGGCTGAGGTGTCTGTGTTTTCTTCTAAGTGTGTGGGGGCTGCAGTGGGGATGAAAGACCAGCCTGCCACACCAGGGTATAATCCCAAGAAGGGTTTCATGTGCCCTCCTGCCAACCCCTGCACTTCTCAAGACCTGGCTGGCGGGTGAGGAGATGCAGCCCATGCCCTGCTCCGGAGGGGCCCGCTCTGGTGCTGAGAACACAGACATGCAGCCCCTGCCCTGTGCAGCCTTCCTGCCCCCAGGACAGGTGCCTCATCGTTCTTGGTCAGGAGCAGGGTTGCACCCCAGCAAGACTCGGAGCCTGGGGAGGCTCATGGCCATGCCCAGTGTGTGCAGGGGCTGGGTGGCAGAGGGACTGCAGTGACCAGAGCGGAGGGTCTGGGCTTGCCTGCTGGAGCTAGGCTGGAGGGGTTGCTAGAAGGGATAAGCCCCAGAGTGGATGCATCTTTGGGAGAGGAGCCGTCCTGGGCAAAGGCCTGGAGGTGGTACTGAGGGTGCAGGATGGGGACACTTGGAGGAAGATGGAGGGAGGGAAGGTGGTGCCCTCTGCTGCGGCTTGTGAGCCTCAATCCTGAAGGCGGCTGCATCTGCTCCGTGGGTCCCAGGAGAAGGAGGCAGACGCCGGACCACACCAGGTACTCAGAGGCCACTTGGAAACTAGACAAGCCCAAGCTAGGTGAGATGTAAACTGGGTGGGCCAGGTACCACCTTCCCCAACATCCCCTCCCTCAGCTCCAGCCTCGAGGGCCCTGACATCTCTGAGCCCACTGTATTTCCAATAGTGCAGCCTTGCTGGACATGCGCTTACATCGTTCCTTCCTACCGCAGGGAGAGAATCTTGCCATTTTCTGGCTACTCTCACAGCCAGTGCTGGGGGTGGGGTGGGGGGTTCACCTGGGCAGGGAGGCCTGCGTCTCCCCCTCAAAGCACTGCTTCCCAGCCACTCGAGTTCACAGCACTGCAGCGGGGAAGCTAACAGCAAAATGCCTCACCTCCAGACCTTTTCTCACGCCCCGAAGCTGGAAGCAGACCTGCACTTTTGTTTTCAAACTCCCTGGAAACTTCCCCCAGAATCTGAACCTCCACAACCCCTCCTCCCCCGCCCCGCTCTCCTTCCCCCCATCCCCGCTCTCCTTCCCCCCATCCCCGCTCTCCTTCCCCCCCATCCCCGCTCTCCTTCCCCCCATCCCCGCTCTCCTTCCCCCCATCCCCGCTCTCCTTCTCCCACCATCCCCGCTCTCCTTCCCCCCATCCCGCTCTCCTTCCCCCCATCCCCGCTCTCCTTCTTCCCCCATCCCCGCACTCCTTCTCCCACCATCCCCGCTCTCCTTCCCGCTCACGGACCTCTGACTGCCTCCCAGACACCCAAGTGATCCCTCTGAGCAGGCTCCTCTTCCTGGGCAGAAGCCACAGAAGACCCCTCTTAGTGACAGAGGGAGAGACAAGACTGGGGACACCTGGGCCTTCCTTCATAATTCTTGTCGCAGCCCGTGTGCACCTCTGCCTCTGGGACTGGGCACAGTCCCAAGTGGAGCTGGAACCATGATGGCAGATGTCACTTTCAGAGTGGGGTGCCCCTCCTGCCTCTGGGAGGCCCTGAGGCTCCTCCAGCAGACTGGCTGTTGGCCTCCCCTGCGGGTCCCCCACCACCCAGCCTGGCCCCGCAGCGGGTGTTGGTCCCGTAGCTGAGAGCTGTCTGGGAAAGGACAAAGAACCGTTCTCTGCAGTGATGGGCGCTTCTGTGCCGACAGCCCAGCAGAGCCCCGGCTGCCCCTCCACCCGGCCCTGCTAAATGGCTACAAATTGGAGGATAAAAGCACAGGCTTTCAAGCAATTTTGCCTTCAATCTCTGGAAACTGCCGCTCCCTGGAGCTCCTGTGCGGGATGGAGGAGGAGAGAAGACAGACACTGAGTCTATTGGGCCCGAGTTCTGCAACAAACAAACACACAAGCGGGCCTCTCTCCAGCAGTGAGCCTCTGGGAGGGGAGACAGAGCCTGCAGGCCCCGAGCTGGAGCCGCCGCCTGGGTGTCTCTCCACCCAGGCCACTGCTGTTTACTGAGCACCTACTGTATGACAGGCACGGTGGTGGGGAGTGGGCTGCACAGGGCAAGCACACACGTGGTCCCTGAGCTTCTGTGAATTGGACCAACAAACAGCCAGCCTTGAGTCCCCAAGGAACAGGGCGTGCCGGGGACACAGGGGGATGCCCTGGTGCATGTGGGCGGCCTAGCCACCTAGCATGGAAACCCTCGGTCCGCAAAGACAGGGCTGCAGCCAGGCCCCGGGCGGTCCTCAGGAAATAGGGGCTCAGGCCAGCAGGGTCTCCCCAGCCCAGGCCCCCAGAGGCTGCCACTGGCTGTGTGTCTGGCCACCTCACCTGCCTCGTGCTGGCTCTGGGGTGTCCCTGGGACAGGTTCTGGGCACACGCTGGGTGAGGATCCTTTCCAGCTTGGGATGAAGCCCCTGAGCTCTCAGGGTGCCCAGCAGGCAACCCCACTTCCGTCCTATAGGAAAGTCCCAGTTACTGGTGAGCCAGCGGCACGGCAAGGGACAACTGGGGCCCCAGGCAAGGCTTCTGGAGCCCTGACCTGGGGAACACATGGCTGCCTGGCACTGTTTCTCTGGGCCCCTAGCCCAACCAGTGCTTATAGCCAGGCCTGGAGGTGTGAAGAAGCTTTTGTCCGGCCGGGTGCGGTGGCTCAAGCCTGTAATCCCAGCACTTTGGGAGGCCGAGGCGGGTGGATCACGAGGTCAGGAGATCGAGACCATCCTGGCTAACATGGTGAAACCCCATCTCTACTAAAAATATAAAAAACTAGCCGGGCGTGGTGGCGGCGCCTGTAGTCCCAGCTCCTCGGAGGCTGAGGTGGGAGAATGGCATGAACCCAGGAGGCGGAGCTTGCAGTGAGCCGAGATCGCACCACTGCACTCCAGCCTGGGTGACACAGCGAGACTCCATCTCAAAAAAAAAAAAGAAGCTTTCGTCCAACATTTACTGGCATTCTCCTGGGTGCCAGGTCCAGGTGGGGAACCCTATGCCCTTGAAGTCACCTTGGGAGGCACAGATGCTCTTCGTTCTACAGATGTGAGAACCAGGGTTTTGGAGGCTGGTGACATCTCGGTCCCACACCACACTTGGCAGTCAGGGGTGCAGCCAGGACTGGACGCCAGGTGTGACTCTGAAGCCCATGCTCTTTTGGCTCCATCACGCTGTCCCTGAGTGCCTACTGTGTTCTGGGCACCACGGTGTGGCAGGTGTAAGCAGCTCCCCCTGCTCCCATGGACTGTGCCCTCTTGGGGGACACCACTGTTTGTGGTTGCTGGTGGGGGTATCCCCCGGGATGGAGAGCAGAGTGGGACATCCAGGAAGCCTCTGTGGGCCTCAGAACCAGACCTCAGCTCCGCCGATCTTCACAGGAAGCATCCATGGAGTGCCACTGGGGTCCCTCCATTGTGCCGGGCACAAGACCCCACTCAGCCGAGCTGGGGCAGGTATTGGGGGAAAGAAAAGGGAGAAGCAAGGGGTAGGCTGTGGAGCCCGAGGTGCCAGTTGCCCAGGTCAGGCAGAAAGCGTATCTGGAAGGGAAACTGAGGCCTGGAGGACGGGGACCGCCCCAGGCCACCCAGCAGGTCTGCATTAAGGCTGGGACTAGAATCCAGACTTCCTGGGAGGATGCCAGCCCTGTCCCTTCCCATCCCTGTCCATCTAAGAGGCCAGGCCGGGGCTCCCTGGGCCTCAGCTTTTTCCCCTACAGAATGGGCTTGGCCATGCTCGGGGGTGGATGGAGCAGCGGTTGCTGAGTGGCCTCTGCCTGGCCCTCCGAATCCAGTTGGCACCACTCTCCCTGTCTGGCTGCAGCTCAGCAGGCCCCTCGCCCCCGCGGGCAGGAAGCAGCTCTGGCGCCCGCTGCAGGCCTCCCCATCATTACCGAAAATTGCTCCATTGTTGGTGATGCACACACCTGCTCGCAGCGGATAGTGCCGTGCTAACGTCATTAAGCGCTGGGCCTCTCGGCAGGCAGGGCTGGAGGTGGCCGGCTGGAGGAGGCTGGGGGAGGTCGCCAAGGTCCCTGGAGGGTCACCTTCTCCCCACCCCCTCTCTCTTTCCCTTCTCATGGGTTGGAAATGAGCACGGGGTCTGGAGTCGGCTGAACTGGAAGGTCGGTCTGACTGGGGCCACTTCCCAGTGGTGTGACCTCGGACAGGTCCCGCAGCCCCTGTGGACCAAACAGCCCCCCACCCCCACCCCACCCCATTGAAGTCTGGTAAGGATGGAGGGATGTCTTGCTCCCAATGCCCTCAGGGGCCAAAGCCCTCCCTGGACCTGATGGCACACACAGGGACTGGTGCTGGGGGGAACATCCAGGGTCTTCGGATCCTAGAACAGGAGGCAGGGTCAAGGATCAAGCTCCAGAGGGGCCTCAGTTTCCCTTTGAGGACACACAGGGGTCCGTTGAGGGGTAGAAGCCCAGCAGGGCTGGAGCAGGGAGGGGCAGGGCCAAGGTTCAGGGGTCCCTTTCTGGCGCCTGCCTGGGAGGAATCATCTAGCTGCCAGGCACATGTGACGCGCTCAGACCATAGTAACAAGAACGGCTCCCGGCCCACAGCACTACCGCTCTGAGCCCTTTCCTCAGCTAAACCCATCTCATTGAAGGAGGTTAATTGGCCTGGTCAACATCATGCAGATAACTTGGGACCATTTTCCGAACCCCTCAGCTCTCGGGGATGCCTCAGGCACCTGCTCAGGAGATGCAGTTTTCCCTGGGGAACCACTCCCCCCTCACTCTGGTGGGCTCAGTAGGGCCAACTCCACCCCTGGGCTCCAGGGTTCATGTGAGTCTCAGGCATGGCTCAGCACCATTACCAGAATGGGTCTGGGGTGACACACATCACATCCCCAGCCCCGCCAGTGGGTGGCAGTCCTGGCTGGGAACCCGGGAAGGAGGTGCCCTCTCCAGCTGGAAAAGCCATCCTGGCTGCCTTCAAGGCTACCCTCACTGAGGCCGCCTAGGGAGTCTGCCTGGAGCAGACAACACGGAGGAAAACCAAGCCGAGAGCTGGGGCAGGCGGATTCCCCATGCTGTCGTCTGAGCACCTGGATCCAGCCCTGACTGAAGCTAGCCCTGGGGCTTAATGTTTTACAAGTTACCAAGTCCACCTTCTCTCCTAAAGCCCATACAAGATGCGTTTTTATAGTTGGAGTGGGAAAAATACTGCCGGGTGAGACTCTGTCCAGGTTGGCATCCCGCTGAGACTCTGTCCAGGCTGGCATCCTCTATCTCATGGGGGAACAGGTCACTCCCACCCACGAGAGGTCTGTGGCTCTGATTAATGAAAAGTGGAAGTTAGATTATTTTTTGGTAGATACTAATGTGTTGTTTTAGTCGCCAGCAGGAAAGGCATCTTCCAACACAGCAGGCTCTGGAGAGAGGAGGGTGCCATCCTTTCTGTCCACAGGAGGCATCCATGAGAGGTCTCACCTAGGTGGCCTGCCTTGAGTGGCCCCAGCAGGGACAGGCTTCAGCCCCTGCCCACAGCCCCTCCAGACCACTCCCTCAGGGGCTGGAAGAAGGCAGGGGAGGCTTCGGGGAAGGGTGTACCTTGTTCCCCCAAACCCCTGGCCGTCCTCTCCCCTAGGTGGCCCCATCTCCCGGCACCCCCTCCCGGCAGGCACCACTAAGGAAAATCAGTGTCAAAACCACTCTCCCTGTCACCACCTCCTTTCCTTAGGGTCACCAGATAAGATGCAGGACGCTCCTTAGGGTCACCAGACAAGATGTGGGACCCTGAACTTCAAAATCTGAACTTCACTGTCAGGACGAATAATGTTTCAGTATGCACCTCCCATGCAGGGCACTCTTCATTGTAAATCCAAAATTCCACTCTAGCGGCGTGGGCTGCGCCTGCCTGAGCAAACCTGCCCACTCCCTTTTCTCTCCCTCCAAGGCCCTCCCTCCACTGACAGGGACACTGCGGGTGGGGTGGGTGCTCAGTTTTTTTTTTTTTTTTGAGAGGGAGTCTTGCTCTGTCTCCCAGGCTGGAGTGCAGTGGCGCGATTTCAGCTCACTGCAAGCTCCGCCTCCCAACTAGCTGGGACTACAGGCGCCTGCCACCACGCCTGGCTAATTTTTTGTATTTTTAGTAGAGACGGGGTTTCACCATGTTAGCCAGGATGGTCTCGATCTCCTGACCTCGTGATCCGCCCGCCTCGGCCTCCCAAAGTGCTGGGATTACAGGCGTGAGCCACCGCGCCCAGCCGGGGCGCTCAGTTTTAAGAAGCCACGAAGTTCTTTGGCGAGGAAGAGAAAGCGCTAGTGCTGGGGTTGGGTGGGGGACTGAGGGAGTGGCTTCCTGGGACCTGGACCCTGGGGCCTGGTAGGGGGTGGCAGGCTGGGCATTGGGGGCGTGGCTTGCCCAGCACACGGGGGTTGGGGGGCCTAGCCACCAGACCCATGAGGCTCTGTTCCACCGTTGGCTGGGGATCCCAGGTAACACCCAGGGCCCCTGTGAGCCCAGAGGATCCTGAACAGGGAAGGTGCCCATCTGTGCCCAGGCAGGGTGAAGGGAGCCTGCTCCAAGCCCAGGAGGGGAAGGCATGGCCTTGGCTCATTCACTGGGTCTTGTTATCTCCACTGGACTGAGGAGGGAACACGGTAGAGGGAGTGAGACACTCGGTCCCCACCCTCAACACCCAGCCGGGCCACGGCCAGGCCTGTCCCCCTGGAGGTCATGGCAGAAAGCAGAATGATTTCCTGGCTCTGGGGAACATCATGGATCCATTGGGACCCATTGATTTTTTGCAAAGAAGCAATTTTTTTTTTCTAAGGAACCAGACAATTACAAGAAAGAAAAAACGATCAGGTAGCCCTGTCTCTCACGAACCCTGTCTCCAGCACCCACTCCTGGGGAGGGGTGGTGGTTCCCATGCAGGTCTGCCTTGCACCTCATAGGTTCATCAGGTCATTAGGCCACATCCAGGGACCCTGCCTCTGTCTTGCCTGTGTGGCTACCCCCATGTCACATGGAGGAGCCTAGGGTCCTCTCTGACTGTCTGGCTCCTTTCAGAAGTGGAGACCCTGGCCTGGGGGTGGGGCTGTTTGTGGAGCCAGTCCTGGCGGTAAGAATATGAACTATTTGAACAGCAGGCAGGGTTGGGCCTGCTGTGTGCCCTCCACACGGCCTCTGCCTGGTGGTGCTGCCGGAGATGTCCCCAGATCCAGGACCCTCGGCAGCGGCAAAGCCCAGGAGGGATGTTTCCTGCAGAAGCCTAATGCCAGCGGGTGTGCAGCCTGGAGAAAAGTTTGCTTTTGTGGTCAGCTGACCTCACGCTGCCTTCTTCCAGCAGAGACCGAGCAAGAGCACCAGGAGGGGACAGTCCCAGGAGGATGCAGCCCGAACATTCCACGGAGCCTCCAGGGGCTCGCCAGAGGGCAGTGGGCTCCCGACGTCTTGACTTTCCTCTTTCGGGTTGTTGTAGGTTCCAGGCCGTTGGATGCAACACTACAGAGACCCCATGTGCCCTTTATCGGCTTCCCCCACAGGGGAGCTTGGGTGAGCCACCCTCCGAGACCACAGCACACACGCCGTAGCCGCATGCAGGTTCCCACTCCCCTGCACTCGTGCGTGCTGTGTATGTTTCGTTTTATGTCATATTTCTTATCGTGGTGATAAACATGAAGTTGACCACTTGAGCTACCTGAAGCGTGCGGTTCAGTGGCTCTCCCTCTGCCGCGTGCCCATCGCCACCCTCCACCTCCAGAGACGGTCATCTTCCCAGCCTGAAACACCAAGCCAATAGGATCCTTTCACATGTGCAGACTCGTGGCCCCACCACCCACACACAGAATGACGGTCCGAGGACCCCGGCACGGCCCTTTTCTGTCCATGGCTACCTCCACCCTGCCACCCTCCTCAGCCCCTGAGGACCACCAATCCATTCTCCTCGTTGTTGTTTCTGGAACACTCTGTAGAGGGAACCATCATGTGTGACCTCTCAGCACTGGCTCTCCCTGGCCTGACACCTGCGGTCCCCAGGCAGACGCCATGCATGCAGAGCTGCCCCCGCCCCCGCCAAGCGCTGCTGCACCCCACAGCTCTGCTGCCTTTTTAGTGGCACCAGGACAGGTTCCTGGCCCGTGTGTTCACTGACGAGAAAATCCAGTTGCCTCAGCATGTCTGCCCTTCAGGACTCCCTCCTGGGGCCAGCGCCAACCTGGGCTCTGGGCACAAACGAGTTATCTGTTCTCCAGGAGCTCAGGACAGGCGAGAGGGTGGAGGATGGTGGCTAACGTGAATAGCGTGGAAAGTGCACATACAGAGGGTGGTGGGCCCAGCTGTGCAGAGTGGCTGTGGCTGTCTTTGGCTTTTTGATTAGAGGGCATTTCACGGGGTGTCTGGGCAGGGAACGGGGTCACAGGGATCAGCAACACTGGGGAGCAGCCTCAGTGTGGCCGAGACACAGGAAGGGGGGGTGGGGCCAGTGCTGTGGGCATCAGGGACTCCCAGTGAGGGGCCTGGCTCCCTGGCGCAGCCACATGGGAAGATTGAGGGGCCCGGTCACCAAGTAGGGGAGCCGTTAGCAGGCCACTGCCATTGTCCAGGGCAGGGGTGGAGGTGACAGGCATGGCAGGACGTGGGGTGGACCCGAGGGCAGAGCCACCGCACTGGCGAGGTGAGGAGGCCAAGGCCCTGCATGAGACTGAACTCAGCATAGCACGTGCGCCGGGAAGCACACACAACAGCAAGATGGAAAGGGGGGCCGGTCATGGAGGCTCACACCTGCAATCCCAGCACTGCGGGAGGCCGAGGCGGGCGAATCACCTGAGCTCAGGAGCTTGAGACCAGCCTGGCCAACATGATGAAACCCTGTCTCTACTAAAAATACAAAAACTAGCCGGGTATGGTGCTATGCGCCTGTAATCCCAGCTACTCAGGAGGCTGAGGCAGGAGAATTGCTTGAACCTGGGAGGTGGAGGTTGCAGTGAGTCAAAATTGCGTCACTGCACTCCAGCCTGTGTGACAGAGCAAGACTCTGCACCCCACCCACTGCTGTCAAAAAAAAAAAAAAAAGAGATGGAAAGGGACGTGGCTTGGGATCGAACAACGTGCCCCCCCATCCACATCCACAGAACCTCAGAATATCACTATTGGAAATGGGGTCTGTGCAGATGTAACTGAAGATCTCAAGATGGGGCCATCCTGGGTTTAGAGAGGCCCAGATCCCACAACTGGGTCCAGAAGATAAGAGGACACACACGGGGTGAAGTTACGTGACGACGGGGCAGGGGCAGGAGCCTTGCCACCGCCAGCCGAGGATGAAGCAGGAACGACCTCCCTGGCCTTGAGAGGCCACACGCCCCACGGCAGAATCCGCTTAGGGTTTTTTGTTTGTTTTTTGTTTTTGAGACAGGGTCTCACTCTGTCGCCCAGGCTGGAGTGCAGTGGCGCGATCTCCACTCACTGCAACCTGCGACTCCTGGGTTTGAGCAGTTCTCCTGTGGCAGTCCGGGTGGGGTCTGGGTGCCCTGGGGCCCTGCCACCCTCCACTTGGACACGGGCAAGGAGGAGTTTGCCCTGAGCATCCCCTGTAGAAGCCCAGTTCCATGGCAGCACACACACACACACACACACACATAATTTCAGGCCGGGTGCAGTGGCTCACGCCTGTAATCCCAGCACTTTGGGAGGTCAGGAGATCGAGACCATCCTGGCTAACCCGGTGAAACCCTGTCTCTATTAAAAAATACAAAAAACTAGCCGGGCGAGGTAGTGGGCGCCTGTAGTCCCAGCTACTCGGGAGGCTGAGGCAGGAGAATGGCGTAAACCCGGGAGGTGGAGCTTGCAGTGAGCTGAGATCTGGCCACTGCACTCCAGCCGGGGTGAGAGAGCAAGAGCAAAAAAAAAAAAAAAAAAGTAGTTTAGAACTAGGAGCAGCCTAAAGGCTCCTCGTGCTCGCACCATCCTCTGTGCACCTGCCCTGCCAGTGCTTACTGACGCTCTCTGGGTCAGGTGTTCTGAGGCTACTGGGGATACACAAAGACCCTGTGTCCGAGGCAGCCCACACATGCTGACAGTGGGGGGTTGACCTTCACCCGCGGTCCCTTCTGTAACTAAGGACCGCAGTGTCGGCCGCCTCAGGCATGGCTACTAAAGACCCGCACAGACGGCCACATAGCGTACACTCCAATTACAGGATCTGTCTGGAAGGCAGATCCCTGTGGACAGAAGGTAGATGGGTGGGTACCCGGGGGAGGGGGAAGAGGGGGTTGATGCTTACGGGGACTGGGTCGGTTTTTGGGGTGATGAAAATGTTCTGGAAATAGCAGTGACAGTTGCACAACCTTCTGAACATATGAAAAACCACTGAATTATATAAAGTGGTGAATTTTGTGGTATATGAATCATATATCCCATTTGAAAAGCAGAGTGGCAAAAATTTGTTTCTAGGCAGGAAGCTCCTGGGGAAGCCAAGTGTAGCTTTACCATACTCAGGGAGGACAGTGTTGGAGAGAAAGCTGTCAGCTTCTAGAACGCGACGGCAAGAGCTGTGTGTGTGGCAGGGAGAAGTCTGGGGGCTTTTTGCAGCAAGGAAAGTTCTGGGCAACCTTCGTGGCGGTGACTCCCCCTCTGGAGCCTCAGCTTCAGCAAAGGACGAGGGCTTGTCCCCAGAGCAGCCAGACTCAGGCCTAGATCAAGGTTCCAGCCCACGGGGAGGCTGGGCTAGGGGCTCCGTGCAGAGGTCGGGCCACCAGGCATTTTGAGCAACCCCCTGCAAGAGCATAAAGATGAAAGCCAGGGATAATTAACGCTCTCAGGCCTGGGTTAACTCCACAAAATCCTTTGTGGTGGCCTGAAAGAAAAAGCAAATAGATGCAAAACCCATCTCTGGTTTCTAGGATAGAAGGACCTTTGAAATTATAAGACATTAAAATAAAGGTTCGGGTAAAAGGACTGTCATGTTCTAGCTGCAGATTTGATGTGAGATCAAAACGGAATTGCTCTTCTTGAAAGCCCAGGCGCTGGCCTACTGTGCAAGGTGCGCCCCACCCCAGCGTGCAGAGAAGCGGCCCAGGACCCTTGCGGCTAATCTCACCTGAGGCTGCTGTCTCTCCTCGAAGGGCTGAGGGTCCCGCTCTGATCATCCTTCTCTGCTTTTTTGTCCTCTCCACTTTGTTTTTTTTTTTTTTTTTTTTGAGCCGGAGTCTCGCTCTGTCGCCCAGGCTGGAGTGCAGGGGCGCAATCTTGGCTCACTGCAAGCTCCGCCTCCCGGGTTCACGCCATTCTCCCGCCTCAGCCTCCCGAGTAGCTGGGACTACAGGCGCCCGCCACCACGGTCGGCTAATTTTTTGTATTTTTAGTAGAGACGGGGTTTCACCGTGTTAGCCAGGACGTTCTTGATCTCCTGACCTCGTGACCCACCCGCCTCAGCCTCCCAAAGTGCTGGGATTACAGGCGTGAGTCACTGAGCCCAGGATGCTCTGTTTTTCTTTTTCTTTTTTTTTGAGACAGGGTCTCGCTCTGTCACCCAGGCTGGGGTGCAGTGGTGCAATCACAGCTCACTGCAGCCTCGACCTCCCAGGCTCACGCGATCCTCCCACGTCAGCCTCTGGAGTGTCCCCTCCACTTTCTTTCTTAGGGGTCCCTCAGGGACATGTCAGAGGTCGGAGACTACTTGGGGGGCGTCTATGGGACAGGCAGGCTGCCAGCAGCTGAGCTGTCCTTGCCCTGTGGCCCCTCTGCAGTCAGGGAGACACCAGGCATGGGCCTGGCTCGGATGCATCAATCCCTGACGGCAAAGACTTAAACTATGGACAGAAAAGGTGATGCGGCAGCCTCGAGGGGCAAACGCAAGGCCCCCTTAGCTGCCGTCCCACCAAGGGATGCCCATCGTCTCCCTTCGGCTTGGCAACTGCCTGGCGCAGCACAAGGATTCTCTTTAAATCCCCAGCAAACGGAGCCGAGTGGAAATTCCGTCCCACATTTCTAGGCACATGTCTCCTTCCACTCCTCACTACACCCTGCCTAGGCCACGGCTGCCTTCCGGGAATAACGCTGACAGTTCCATGGCCCACACCCCCTTTAGTTAACTTGCTGTGCACACGGCAGCCCAGCCAGAAACACGAAGCTGGGTCGGATATTGGGTGCATTCAGTCGTGAAGCCTGAGGCTTCCTGGCTCCCACCGAGCACAGCGCAGCGTTCTGAAGGACAGGAAGAAGCTGGCCTCACTGCTCTTCTCAGACGGCTGATGGAGAAAAGCACACAGCTGCCTGCGCTGCTCTGCCTGCACTTGCGTCCCCGGCCCCACCCCTTGTGCAGCAGTGAGCCTCCCTGAGACACTGGTGCCTGGGCTTGCTGTACTGTAGGGCTGCTGGACAATGGGCCAGACCCAACCCCAATGTGGATCCAGAGGTCTCTCTCCGTAGCAAGCCATGGAAGCGTGACGGGCACTGTGCTGAGAACCCGGGTCTGCACCTCTGACCTGGGGCTCTGGCCGTGCGGTTCTGCTGAGCTCACCCAAGAGTCCATGCGTGCACGGCGCAGACCCGAGTCAGCGGCAGGGCTACCCTGTCATGGGCACCCCAACCCCTCATTAGGGGTGTTAATCAGCACAAAGGAGCCAACTGGCTAATCAGTCAGCACACGCTGACAGACACAGGAAATACAGAAGGCAGGCGGGCTGGGGGCGCACGCTGACAGACGCAGGAAATACGGAGGGCAGGCGGGCTGGGGGCACAGAATGTTCCCCCACCTGAGGACATCCCAGGCCAGCAGGCGGGGCCCCAGAGACCCAGAAGCACCACAACTCCTATGTGTCCACAAGGCACTTTCTTTATGCATTCAAAGCCACCTCGTTCACACCCAGGTTTGCTCAGACAGGGAGGCCCAGAGGCGACCCCGCTCTGGCATGGCTACCACCTGAGCGGCTGGCGGCCCTTGCCCAGCTCGGCCTCCACGTAGGCGTCATGCAGCACCTTCAGGTGCAGCAGCAGCTGCTCCAGGTTTTCACCAGTCAGCGCTGACAGCGCAATGACCTCCCATCCCAAGTGATCCCGGAGCTGGGACAGATTGGCTCGGGCTTCAGGGAGGTCAATCTTATTTGCGATGATTGCGTGGGGCCTCTCAGACAGGCCCTCTTCATACATCTCCAGTTCATATTTTAAATCGTCAACTTGAGTCCATGGCTCAGGCTGAGAAAGATCCACCACGAACAAGAGAAAGCGGCAGCGCTCGATGTGCCTGAGGAAGGCGGACCCCAGACCCCTGTTCTGGTGGGCGCCTCGTATGATGCCAGGGATGTCGGCCACTGCAGGGAAGACAGGGGCACACGAGGTGACCACTCGGCCCAGCCAGCACCAAGAGCGCCTTCCATCTCGAGTCTGGGAGGGAAGGCCTGGAGCCCACTGCGGAGGCTGGATTTCCTGAGTTCTAACACTTTCCTTTCAAGGACCACCTTGAACTGAAGCCATTTGATTTAGCACCTGGGTGATTCATTGGGCCAACTGACACCCGAGGAATTCAGTGCTGGGAGATGTCTGGGAGACCGGCATGGTGATGGGTCCATCTAGTAGGGAACATTTAATACCTTCTCTTTCTGCTTCAAATAGGATTCAAAAAAGAGGAAAATGGCTGCCTGTACTCTACTAATAATCTGATTACTGACAGAAATTATTGTAGAGTACTCTGCAAATAAAAAGTGCCGTCCAAATAACCTTACCAGCAGGCTTACTATTTTTAATGGGTACATTGTCTTCTGGGAAAAAGTTTTATTCTCTCAAACGGCACAAGGAAAGCTTTTAAGTCACATGTTGTGATGCTGCTGAGCTTCCACAGATGAAAGAGGGGCACAGACAGAGTGGGAAGAAATACTGTCCTCAGGGCTGGAATTTCTTTTTTTTTTTTTTTGAGATGGAGTCTCGCTCTGTCACCCAGGCTGGAGTGCAGTGGCACGATCTTGGCTCACTGCAAGCTCTGCCTCCCGGGTTCACGCCATTCTCCTGCCTCAGCCTCCCGAGTAGCTGGGACTACAGGTGCCTGCCACCACGCCCGGCTAGGTTTTTGTATTTTTAGTGGAATATTTTTAGTAGAGACAGGGTTTCACTGTGTTAGCCAGGATGGTCTCAATCTCCTGACCTCGTGATCCACCTGCCTCAGCCTCCCAAAGTGCTGGGATTACAGGGGTGAGCCACCACATCCGGTCAACAATGCTACATTTTAAACAGAAAGCTAAATTTAAGAGTTACATCATTATTTTTCTGAATTATGTCATTTAAACGTAACCTTTGGGAGAATTCTGGAAGTTCTACCTGCTATTTGTTGGTGGCCTTCATAGTGGACGATCCCGACGTGGGGCTTCAGGGTGGTGAACGGGTAGGAAGCCACGGCGGGTCTGGCGTTTGAAATGGCCCGGAGCAGTGAGGACTTCCCGGCATTGGGGAATCCCACCTGGGGGAAAGAGGGAAGTCAGCAGTGTACAGGTGGGAAAAAGGTGAGCCGCACAGCTGTTCTCTTCTAGGCCACTGGCAAATCCCCATCGAGAACAGTGGATTTTCTAGAGTTCAGTGTGTGCAGATGCTGTTGGCAGTGGGGACACCTACCATCCCGGCGTGGGCCACCGTCTTGAGCTCTAGGTGGAGAACTCGCTGCTGTCCTGGCTGTCCAGGGGTACAGGTCACAGGGGCACGGTTGTCGTTGGCCAGGAAGAAGCGGTTGCCTTTCCCTCCTGCCCCGCCCAGTGCAGCGATGTACTCGTCTCCCGTGCGAGACAAGTCGGCCACGACTCTGCCTCCCTCCTTCACCAGCGTGCCCACGGGGACCTGGGAAACAGTAGGCACTCATCAGCTGAGCTCTATGAGCAGTGAGGACAGGTGGCCTTAACCCATTCCTGAAGCAAGTGCTAAGGAAAGAATAGCAGACTGTGCCGGGTGGCTGCCCGCCCCACTCACCTCTGCTGACGGCTCTGGAGTACAAGGAGAAGGTCCCAGAGCTCCAGAGGTTTCATGGGGCTGGGTACACACCCTTCTGACTACACAAAGGGCTTTTTCAAATAGTGTTTCTAAAACATTAGGGTGAACTGAAGCAACCGGAAAACAGCTAATCTAAGAGAAGAATGAAACAGTTCACAAAGGAGATGCAGGCCCGCTGGGTGCCAGTGGCCTCCCTCAGTCAGAGGGCGATTCATGGGGCCAGAGGCAGAGGAAGTGTGCGTGCCGTGGGCTCCCTCTTTTTAGAAGAGAATCATTTCATGAGTCTTTTTTTTTTTTTTTTTTTGAGACGGAGTCTCGCTCTGTAGCCCAGGCTGGAGTGCAGTGGCACAATCTCGGCTCACTGCAAGCTCCGCCTCCCGGGTTCACGCCATTCTCCTGCCTCAGCCTCCCGAGCAGCTGGGACTACAGGCGCCCGCCACTGCGCCCGGCTAATTTTTTCTATTTTTAGTAGAGACGGGGTTTCACCATGGTCTCGATCTCCTGACCTTGTGATCCGCCCGCCTCGGCCTCCCAAAGTGCTGGGATTACAGGCGTGAGCCACCGCGCCCGGCCTCATGAGTCTTTCACTAGACATGCACGTAGTGCGACCCTGGTACAAATGCCTGTCTGGGGTTGCTTCGAGGGGTGGGGCTGCTTTCCCGCTGTCTGCCAGCCTCTGCTTCCACTGTGCTGCTTCCTGGCTGTGGGTGTCAAGTCACAGGGGCCCCGTGGGTCACACAGTGGCCCCCAGGAGCCGGATGATCCAGAACAAAAGGGACAGGGCCAGCTCTGGCAGTCTCGGCTCACCTGGACGTAGAGGACGGCGCCACTGCGCCCGAAGCAGTTTTTACTGCCGCCGTCTTCTCCACTGAAACCCTGGTACTGCGACAGGACCGACGACAGGGACTTGACTTGCTGGTCAACTAAAGCGAGAACAAGAATCTCAGTCCCTTTGTGTTACGGCAACCACGGCCTATTGCTGACGTCTCTGGGTCCAGTTTAAGAACCTTAAAAATACGTATGGAAGCGAGGAGTGAGGCTGCAGCAGAAGTTACAGAACCAGCAGTGTCATTTTTTTAAAGTGAAATTCTTATTTTCCTTCAAAATGTGCTATCATTTCTGAAAATGTTTAAATTTCTCATTTTTTAAAGTAGTTATATTCTACGACTTTGTTGTGAATGCTTCATTCCCAGCTCGCTCTGTGTCTATGCTGAGTGAGTGTGAATAAAACCAGCAGCTGGCAGCACCCACTGAGACCACCGCACAGGCCTCGTGCTTTCACGCGACCGGCACGTCAGGTTCCCTGACAGGAAACTCTGGGCTCCTGAAATTAAAAAACAAAACAAAACATGTTCAAAGTTGCTTTTTCTTTTTTTTTTTTTTAGACAGAATCTTGCTCTGTCGGCCAGGCTGGAGTGCAGTGGCATGATCTTGGCTCACTGCAACATCCGTCTCCCAGGCTCAAGCAATTCTCCTGCCTCAGCCTCCCGAGTAGCTGGGATTACAGGTGCCCGCCACCACACCCAGCTAATTTGTTTTTTGTATTTTAGTAGAGACGGGGTTTCACCATGTTGGCCAGGTTGGTCTCGAACTCCTGACCTCAGGCGATACCCTCACCTTGGCCTCCCAAAGTGCTGGGATTACAGCTGTGAGCCACTGTGTCTGGCTGAATATCCATATAATTTATAAAAATGATATCCATACATCAGGGGTTTTTTTTGTTTATTTTTTTAAGACAGGGTCTTCCTCTGTTGGCCAGGCTGGAGTGCAGTGGCATAATCGGAGCTCACTGCAGCCTTGACCTCCTAGGCTCAAGCCATCCTCCTGCTTCAGCCCCGAGTAGCTGGGACTATCAGTGTGTGCCACCACATCTGGTTATTATTTTTATTTTTTAAGAGACAGGGTCTCACTATGTTGCCCAGCCTGCTCTCAAACGCCTAGGCTCAAGTGATCCCCCACCTTGGCCTCTCAAAGTGCTAGGATAACAGGGTTGAGCCACTGCGCCTAGCTGGGTTTAAAAATTTTTCCTTTTTGGCCGGGCGCGGTGGCTCACGCCTGTAATCCCAGCACTTTGGGAGGCCGAGGCGGGCGGATCACAAGGTCAGGAGATTGAGACCACGGTGAAACCCCGTCTCTACTAAAAATACAAAAAATTAGCCGGGCGCGGTTGTGGGCGCCTGTAGTCCCAGCTACTCGGGAGGCTGAGGCAGGAGAATGGCGTGAACCTGGGAGGCGGAGCTTGCAGTGAGCCGAGATTGCGCCACTGCACTCCAGCCTGGGCGACAGAGCGAGACTCCGTCTCAAAAAAAAAAAAAAAAAAAATTTTTCCTTTTTTTTTCCGACAGGGTACTGCTCCGTCACCCATGCTGGAGTGCAGTGGTGTGATCACGACTCACTGCAGCCTTGAACTTCTGAGTTCCAGCAATCCTCCTGAGTAGCTGGGACCACAGGTGGACGCTATCACCTCTGGCTAATTTTTTCAAAAATTTTTTGTAGATCCACAAACCTTGAGACCAAAAAAAAAAAAAAGACACGGTCTTGCTATATTGTCCAGGCTGGCCTTGAACTTACAGGCTCAAGTGATCCTCCCGCCTCAGCCTCTCCCCAGCCCTGCCCGCACTGCCCCAGGGCACCTGCCTCTCAGAATGACGTGTCCGCCGTTGCCTCCGTCCCCTCCATCGGGGCCTCCAAACTCCTTGCGGGGCTCACTGTGGAAGCAGCTTGCCCCGGCGCCTCCGTTTCCTCCACAGACAAGCACTCTCCGACAGTCCACAAAATACCTTTTCTACAGAGAGCACAAGTATCCCACGTCATCTCAACACTCCGAGGTCCTTTCACGAGACCATACATCCATTTGAGATGTGCCTCTTCCATTTACGACAGCCTATTACAATTACAGGTTAATGACACTAATACTGCTAATCGCTTCTAAAATCCAAAGAAAAAAAACAGTTCCTACAAGTCAGTAGCATTTGTAGACCAAGGTAAACCCACAATGCAGATGTAAGTATTCTGTGTGAACCTACACTTCAAAAATTCAGCATTTCTTATTCTGGGTGAGACTGATTTAAAACCACCAACAACAAAAATCAGCATTTTTAACCTAAAAAACCCACATCTTGTTTAGGAAATAGTCCTTAAATAATGTGTTTTTCCATTAAAAAAAAAAAAACCCATTCCTGAAATCATAGATCTTTACTCTTAGAAAGTTCCAGTTTCCCAGGATGCGACAGGGAAACAAGGAGTTAGAGTCGTTCCTGGATAATTACCAGGCTTTCGACTCTGAAGAAAGAGTATTTTCTGGGGCCTGACGAAAACAGCGCTCATTTAAAAAATGTCGTGATGCAAACTGAGCCCCTCGCTGGAGGGAAAGTTTTTTTTTTTTTTGGCAGAGTCTCGCTCTGTCGCCCAGGCTGGAGTGCAGTGGTGCGATCTCTCACTGCAAGCTCCGCCTCCTGGGTTCACGCCATTCTCCCACCTCAGCCTCCCGAGTCGCTGGGACTACAGGTGCCCGCCACCACACCCGGCTAATTTTTTGTATTTTCAGTAGAGACGGAGTTTCACTGTGTTAGCCAGGATGGTCTCGATCTCCTGACCTTGTGATCCGCCCGCCTCGGCCTCCCAAAGTGCTGGGATTACAGGCGTGAGCCACCACGCCCGGCCAGGAAAGTTGTTTTTTTTTTTGTTTTTTTTTTTGAGAGGGAGTCTCGCTCTGTCGCCCAGGCTGGGATGCAGTGGCTGGATCTCAGCTCACTGCAAGCTCCGCCTCCCGGGTTTACGCCATTCTCCTGCCTCAGCCTCCCGAGTAGCTGGGACTACAGGCGCCGGCCACCTCGCCCGGCTAGTTATTTTTTGTATTTTTTAGTTGAGATGGGGTTTCACCTTGTTAGCCAGGATGGTCTCGATCTCCTGACCTCGTGATCCGCCCGTCTCGGCCTCCCAAAGTGCTGGGATTACAGGCTTGAGCCACCGCGCCCGGCCGGAAAGTTGTTCTTTAGGTCACTAAGGTAGGTACAATCTGGATAAAGAGAGAACCAACCAGGATACCGTTCAACACACAACAGCTCCTACCACAGGAGGGTCAGCTCCCGCGGCCCAGGGTGCTGCAACCTCACCACACCCTGGGGAGGACGCCTGGCTTCTGCCCATGCATGTGCACGGACAGATGCGCCCTAGCCCTGTCCCAGGGCTGCTGCCTCTGCACTCCCATCTAATACTCCTCAAATGCAGCTTTTTTGTTTTTTTTTTTTTTTTAAAAGAAAATATACAAACATTTTAAGATTCTTTGGCACCACCATGTGGAAAAACCATGAACTGCTATTTCCAAATCTCAATATGTAATGCCGTCATGTGCCAACGCAAGCAAAATCCACCAGACAGGGAAGAAAGCCCCACTGGTGAGCACTACACGGAGGACAAAACCTCGGCTCACTTTCTCCGCTGGGGATGAGACAAGCCTGTGCAGACACTTCAGCTATTTGAGCACACATCCCACCAAAGCAGCTTTTCCACTGGAAGTGCGGTTTGTCCCAGTAATGTTTATCTAAAGCCCCTCCATTCAGGAGGAAATGAAGGGAGTCATAAATGTGCATTTTCTTGAATTTATTAGAGACAATTCATGTTTTAAATAGGAGGTTTTGGTAAACAGAACAAGAAAAACTTGTAAGGCTTAAAGAACCATAAAATGGAGGGTCTATTGCCCTGACTTGTTTTATTTTTATTTATTTATTTAAATTTTTTTTTTTTTTTTTTTTTTTTTTAGTAGAGACAGGGTTTCACCATGTTGGCCAGGCTGGTCTCGAACTCCTGACCTCAAGTGATCCGCCTGCCTCAGCCTCCCAAAGTGTTGGGATAACAGGCATGAGCCACCACGCCCAGCCCCTACATTTGTTTTAAGAAATAGCCACACATATTAAAGGATATATGTAACATACATGTAAGATACACAGGCTCATGGTAAAATGAGTAGCCTGTATCACAGCTTTCCAAGCATCCAGCGCCTCTCCCAGCCTGCTGGGATCTGCTGAGTGTGGGATTTCGCACACAGGCCTGCGTTTCACCCCACCATTTTCAGGAAGCTCCACATGCCCCATCACCAAGATCACAGAGATGAGATCAAGAGGAAGACCCAAAACCACACCCTGTGCCTTCTGAGGAGGAGACAGGCAAGCTGCTCTGACTCCAGAAGTCTCACCAGCTTTTTCTCAGAGAGCGGCTTCTTCCCCGGGAGTTCCTGACGCTTGGCGTGGTCCGCACAGCCGACCGAGAGCAGCCTGGGAGAAGCCTGCTGTGGCAGTCGCCGGCTGGGCTTGAGGCCAGCCCGTGTGGACAAAGCCCAATGCCCCACGTCCTCAAACACGGTCCTCAATCTTGCTGAGAAAAGCCTTGCAGGTGACATGGCCCCTACAGAAGTCAGATTGGCAAAATGAGATGCTTGGTTTAACCCTGGGCATGAAACAGAAACGGGAGAGGAGGGTCTCATGCAGCAGGTCTCCATGCACGTTTCTCAAACAAACAAGTGAACTGATGAGTCTGACTCTCCTGGTCACTCACCGTCTCGGCCCTGGGTCACGTCTTGTCCTCTGACCCGTCAGCCTATCTGTGACTTGGGAGCAGGATTTCTGTACAAAGGATTGAAAACATTAAATCTTCCACAACACTGGACATATCCTCTTATGGAATAGCAAGTATCCGCTCAACGAAAATATTAAAAAGGAAATCTGAAGTGCAAGTCAAAATTTCTTGAAAAACACCCATTTATTCAAATGTTATCAACAGTGTTATCTTGTGTAATTTTCCAGTTGTTATATTGGAACACAAGAATATTAACCATGGAGCATAGCGGCTAAGCACCAGGCTCTGGAAAGCAACTCTAAGGGAAGGCCACGCACCTGTGTGGCCTCAGCCTCCTCACTTGTAAGGACAGGGCTGGGTGAGGACGGGCTGAGCTGATCCACATGGCTGCACAACAGCAGCCCTGGCTGTGGCACTGACAGAATGAGAAGTGTCCACTTGGCCTCTGCTCCTGGCTCCTGACACACAGCTCTCAGAACACTGGTAATTTCCTGAGTGACAGGGGTGATAGGGGTGCCTGGTGCAGAGCTCCTAAATCCCTTGGACTTCCCGGGTGACAGCAGTCTTCTGTTCTAATGAGGCACCTCTTGGTGGGCTCCTGGATGGCCTTGGGAGGGGGCTGGTCATCATAAAGACCAAGCCATGATGAGAAGCCTGGGCCTTTCAGCCCCACCCCCACCCTCCAAACAGGGGAGAGGGGCTAGAGGCTGAGTTCATAACTGATCATGTCTCCATGACGAGGCCTCCATGGAAATCCTTGAACTAGGGGCTTGGGAAAGCTTTCAGTTTGGTGAACTCATCCCTGTGCTGTGAGGGCAGCCACAGAACTCCCTGGGTACAAAGGCTCCTGTGCTCAGGACCCTCTGGGCCTCGCCCGTGCCCCTCCTCACCCAGCTGCCCACCTGTGCCCGCTGTGGCATCCTTTATAGTAAACTGGCAATGCAAACTAAGTGCCTTCCTGAGTTCTGTGAGCCACTCCCGTAAATCATCAAACCTGAAGGGGTCATAGGAACCCCCAATGTGTAGCAAGATGGACAGAAGTGTGGGTACCCCAGGGACCCACTACTTGCGGTCAACATCTGAAGTGGGGGGCGGGTTGGTGTGACTGAGCCCCTAACCCCGGGGTCCGTGATCACCACGGCAGGGTCAGAGTGAACTGAATTAGAGGATGCCTGGCTGGTGTCTGCAGAGGACGGGCGAATTGTTGGTGTAGAAAACCCACACACTTGGTGCCTGATGTGCGGTGTGGGTGGAAACACCCCTGGGGCGGCAGGGTCGGCACAGCTGCAGACTCTAAGTGCCAGCTACTGTCACTCTCAAAGCCTCATTTAAGCCGTCACTCACTCATTCCACCGCTCATGACAGCCAGCTACCTTGCCAGTGCCAAGGGCACAGTGAGGAAGTCGCTGACCCTGCCCTCCAGGAGAGGACAGCCCCTACCTTCACCATGAGCACAAATGCCCTCCTGCTTCCAGAGCTCCCCATTCTTCAGCAGGTCCCACAGGAGGGACCTTACAAGGCGCTCCCCGTCCTGACTACGAGAGGTGTGTACAGAAGGGGCCCCAGTGGATGGCTGAAAACTCAACACGAGGCCAGCGCGGGAGCACAACGAGGGGACACCGCCCGCCTCCTCCCTCACAGTGCCTCGGACGCCTCCCTCTCCCCGGCCTCACTCCTCCAAAAGGTGCCACCTCCTTTGGGGGGTCACTACCTCTGCGGGGTCCTTGGCCATTCTGCTTTAATTCTGCGGCAATCACAGAAAAGCTGGAAGAAGAGTACAAAGAACTTCCTCCGGAATCACTTGAGTCAGTCGCCGACTGGACTTCCCTATACCCAGAACCTTCCATGTGTGTTTCCTACAGACAATGGTGTCCCCTCCAGAACCAGGGTGCCATCGAGACTGGCCATGACCAACAGCCCCTCCCCATACCCTCCCACGTGGGCCCCAGTCCCAGCAGCACCTCTCCCCTCAGGAGAGTCTGCGTCCCAACCCCGGCTTCCTCAGCCTCTCCTGACTCCGGGCCGGCCCTGACACGGGAGGCGGCAGGCCAGCTGTCAATCCCACAGGAGGCGGCAGGCCAGCTGTCAATCCCGGCTTCCTCAGCCTCTCCTGACTCCGGGCCGGCCCTGACACAGGAAGCAGCAGGCCAGCTGTGAGCAGGACGTCCTCATTCCCAACTCAACACTCTGGGCTCATTCTAATTTTCTCTTGTGGTCCTGCTAACTCCATTCTCTGACTATAAGAAACTGTGCCTCCGTGCCCTTTAAGATATTTATGGAGCTGCTCAACCCCTACTGGGACATGCCCACAGCTCCACCTCCCCGCCTGCTCCCAGAGCTCCCCATTCTTCGGCAGGTCTCTGTTCCCTGACTGGTTGAGTTCCCATGCCGGCCCACCTGTCCATGGGACACCCTCCCCTTGATATCCTTCCTGTAAATATATTTTAAAGGACCGCCGATTTTGAGATGGTTTTAGATTTGTGGACAAGGTGCAAAGGCATTCCCGCGGACTTCCTCCCCAGTGTCCCCCACAGCCGCACCTGTGTGGCCTCCACTGGTGCACTGCTACTAACTGAGCTCCAGGTGGGGCTCGGGGCTCAGCAGTTTCCCAAGAGCATCCTTCTCTTCCAGGACCCAGGCCAGGATCCACCCTGCTTTTTACCATTATGTAGGATATTTTTAAGTGCTTGAAGAAAAGAGGCACCGAGGCATTCTATACGCGGGGAAAATCTCTTTCAGAAAGGAAGGTGCAATAAAGATTCTCGGATGGCAGAAAACGAACACAGTTTGTCACTAATATACCTGCTGTATGAGGAACGCTCAAGAAAGTTCCTCGGGTTGAAGGAAAATGATACCAGAGGGAAGCCTGGATCTTGAGGAGGGAAGGGAGAGCAACAGAAATGGTAAATATAAAATACTATTGTTTTCCTCTTAGGAGTTCTTAAATATGTAAGACTTTAGACAAAAAAAATATTGTGTAGTGGGCTTCCAACGCGCATAGAGGTAATACACATGAAAGGCAACAGAAAGGTCAGGAGGGGATTCAAGGGACCCAGATGACTGCAAGGTCCCCACGTTTCTGTGAGGGGCACAGTATGAACTCTGAGCAGACAGTGAAGGCTAAGAGGTGTGCAGACTGGAACCTCCAGGGCAATGACTAAGACACAACACAAAGACACAGATCCAAGAAGCCAACAGATAAATGAAATGCTCAGAACGAGCCCAACAATTCAGAAGAAAAAGAACAAACAACAAAAAACAGAGGGGACAAACAGGAAAGCAATAATAAAAGTGCATCTAAATCTAACCATATACATCATTTCATTAAATGTTCACGTGTACAAATTGTAATTAAAAGGCAGAGGCTGACAAAGTAGATTAAAAAGAGCCAGCTGGGCACAGCGGTTCCTGGCTGTAATCCCAGAACTGTGGGAGGCCAAGGCGGGAAGAACTCTTGAACCCATGAGTTCGAGACCAGCCTCGGCAAAATAGCAAGACCTCCGTCTCTACTGAAGGAATTAGCTGGGCATGGCGGCGCACCCCTGTAGACCTAGCTCCTTGGGAGGCTGAGGCGGGAGGATCACTTGAGCCCAAGAATTCAAAGCTGCTGTGAGCTGTGAATACGCCACCGCACTCCAGCCTGAGCAATAACAAGAGAACGAGACGCTTTTTTTTTTTTTTTTTGAGACAGGGTCTCACTCTGTCACCCAAGCTGGAGTGCAGTGACATAATCACAGCTCCTTACAGCCTTGACTTCCTGTGCTAAAGAGATCCTCCTGCCTCAGCCTCCCGAGTAGCTGGGGATACAGGTAAGTGCCACTGTGCCTAACTTCTAAAATTTTTTTGCAGGGACGGGGTCTCCCAGTTACCCAGCCTGGTCTCAAGCGATCCTCCTGTCTTGGCCTCCCAAAGTGCTGAGATTACAAGCATGAGATTACAAGCACCACACCTGGCCTGAGACCCTATGTCTAAAAATAGAAAAACAGTAAAGATACAAAATCTGAACAATACTATCAAAATATTTATCTAGTTGACATTTATATAACAGTACATCCAACAACTGTAAAGTATACTCTATTTTCAGGTGCAGGTGGAATATTCACCAAAACAGACCATAAGATGTGTCATAAAAGAAGTCTCAATACATTTAAAAGAAATCATATACAGTCAGCCCTCCGTATTTGTGGAGTCAACAAACCTCAGCTCAAAAATATCTGGAAAACAAACAAAACAGTAATAATACAACAATTTTTTTAAATTTAAAAAATAAAGTATAACAGCTATTTACAAAGCATTTACATTGTATTATACTATAAATAATCTAGAGATTATTTAAAGTATACAGAAAGGCTGGGTGCAGTGGCTCACACCTGTAATCCCAGCAGTTTGGGAGGCCCAAGGCGGGAGGATAACTTGAGGCCAGGAATTCGAGAACAGCCTGGGCAAAATAGTGAGACCTTGTGTCCACCAAAAAAAAAAAAAAAAAAGAAAATTAGCTGATTAGCTGGACATGGTGGTGCATGCCTATAATACCAGCTACTTAGGAGGCTAAGGTAGGAGGGTCACTTAAGCCCAAGAGTTGGAGGCTGCAGTGAACTGTGATCACACCACTCACTGCAGTCCAGCGTGGGTGACAGAGCTCCTGTGGCTTTGGAGGGGTGGGAAGTATATGAATGCCAACCACAGGGAATATTCTCAGAATTAAATTGGAAGTCAATAGCTAGAAAATATCTAGGAAACCTGCAAATTAAACAAGCTTCTTCTAAATAATCCACAGGTCAGAGAAGAAATCAAAAGAGAAACTGGAAAATGTTTTGAACTGAATGATAATGAAAATGCAAAATACCAGAATTTTTTTTTTTTTTGAGACAGAGTCTCGCTCTGTCGCCCAGGCTGGAGTGCAGTGGCGCGATCTCAGCTCACTGCAAGTTCCGCCTCCCAGGTTCACGCCATTCTCCTGCCTCAGCCTCCTGAGTAGCTGGGACTGCAGGCGCCCGCCACCACGAAATACCAGAATTTAAGAGATGCAGCTAAAGCAGTGTTTAGAAGGAAACTTACAGTTCTAATGGTTACCTTGGTAAAGCAGAAAGATCTAAAATCAGTAACCGAAGGCTCCAAATCAAGAAACCAGAAAGAGCAAAGTAAGCATGGAGTAGAAGGAGGAGAATCATACAGAGCAGAAGAAAACAAAAAGACAACAGTAAGACGTAACGGGAAAAAACAGGCTCACTGAAGAGACAAGCTAACACACCTCTAGCTAGCCTGATCCGGAAAACAAGAGAGCACGACTCTCCACTGTCAGAATGTTCCACGGGTTATCAGCACACACCTTACAGACAGCAGAAGGGCAAGAGAATGCTAGGAACTACTTTACGCCAGCAAATTCAGTAACAAATTCAACTTACATGAAATGGACACATTTCTTGAACAAGGCAACTTATTAAAGAAACACAAGAATAAACAATCTAAAATAGCCCTGTATCTACTCAAGAAGTTAAATTTGTTATTAAAAAACACTCCCCAAAGGAAAACTCTAGCTCGGCTTGTTTTCCTGGTAAATTCCATGTAACATTCCAGGAAGAAACAATGCCAATCTTACACACTTTTTCAGAAAATAGAGGAAGTGAGATCACTATCCAACTCATCCTATGAGGCTAGCACCAAAACCTGACACTATGAAAAAACAAAATTATAGACCATACCCCTCATGAACATAGATGCAAATAACTCTTAACAAAATATCACCCAATTGAATCCAGCAGTTCAGAAAGGATCACACATCAAGACCTAGTAGGGGTAATCTCAACACAAGGCCACATCAAGCAGTCGAAACTCAGCCCAGGCACTTCTGTGTATCAACAGGTGGTACCACCGTCTCCACACCCACTCACGAGGAGGAAAACAAAACATCTCAGCAAACTGGGAGGAGACGGGAACATCTTCGCCCTGATAAGGGCACTACATGGGGCCTACAGCTAATCGCACTTAATGAAGAAAGACTGAACGGTTCCCTCCCACGATGGAGAAAAAGGGCCTCCACATGCACCATTCCAATGCAACAATGTCCTTTCACACACTGAAATAAAAGGGAAAAAAAAAGAAAGGAAAAAAGGAAGAAATAAAACTGTCCCTGTTTACAGAAGAGAGGACAGAGTTCCACAGAGAATCCCAGGGAAGGCCGGGCACGGTGGCTCACGCCTGTAATCCCAGCACTTTGGGAGGCCGAGGTGGGCAGATCATTTGAGATCAGGAGTTCGAGACCAGCCTGGCCAACATGGTGAAACCCCATCTCTACCAAAAATATAAAAATTAGTGGGGCGTGGTGGCGGGCGCCTGTAGTCCCGGCTACTCGGGAGGCTGAGGCATGAGAATCGCTTGAACCTGGGAGGCGGAGGTTGCACTGAGCCGAGATCACGTCACTGCACTCCAGCCTGGGCAACAGAGCGAGACTCCATCTCAAAAAAAAAAAAAAAAGGCCCCAGGAAGTCTACAAGAAGACAATAAGGTGACTGAGCAAGATGGCAGGTTATCAGGCTAATATAAAAAAATCAATTGTATTCTTAAATACCAGCTGCAAACAACTGTAAATTAAAATTAAGAAAAAAAACCCATTTATGGCAGTGCCGAATACAAAAAGTACCTGAAAATCATTTAACAATAAACCTTCAAGACCTCTACCTCACTACTTGCAAAATACTGTTCTAAGTATTTTTCAGGGATTAACTCATTCAGTCCTCATAAAACTGTGAAGTCCTTCATCATCCTCATTTTAAAGTTGCGGAAACTGAGGCAGACAGGTGGAGAGACTTAACCCAGAGCTGTCAGATGGGTCAGGGGTGGGGCATAAAAACAGGCCGGGGAAAAACGACTCAGGCTCATCAACACAAGCACAGTCACGGCTCAGCCTGCTGGGACGTTACACCATCCAGCCCGGATATTCTGGAAACCAGACTTCCTGCCGCGGGTGACACGGAACCTGAAGATCAACCGCAGAGAAGGCCGCAAAGCCAACCAGAGACCTGAACTCGGAATCTTGCCTAATTTGCTTCCTCCTGTTTGCCCTTTCAGTCTCTCTTTGGAGGTCTGCTGTGGCTCTCCCTTGCCGGATGAACAAATCCCACTGTTTCACGCCACTCTTAGGTGTCTTTCTCTTCCTTCCAACAAGGCTGCCCTTGACCTGTCCAGTACAGTCCCCACTGGCCAAATGTGGCCATTTGGCTAACATTAATGAAAATGTAAAAACTCAGCCCCTCAGGCAACATCTAAATGCTCATGGTCACATCGCGAGTGGGTACCATATGGGACAGCACAGATTAGAACACTGCCCTCATCACAGAAAGTTTTCTTGAGACAGGAGTCTCACTCTGTTGCCCAGGTTGGAGTGCAATGGCATCATCTCACCTCACTGCAACCTTCGCCTCCTGGGTTCAAGCAATTCTCATGCCTCAGCCTCCCAAGAAGCTGGGATTACAGGCACCCATCACCACGCCCAGCTAATTTGTGCAGTGGTGTGATCTCAGATCACTGCAACCTCCCCCTCCCGGGTTCAAGGGATTCTCCTGTATCAACCTCCCGAGTAGGTGGGATTACAGCCATGTGCCACTACGCCTGGCTAATTTTTGTATTTTTAGTAGAGACGGGGTTTCACCATGTTGGCCAGGCTGGTCTTGAACTCCTGACCTCAGGTGATCAACCGCCTCGGCCTCCCAAAGTGCTGGGATTACAGGCGTGAGCCACCGCGCCTGGCAATTTTTTTTTTTTTTTGAGGCAGAGTTTCGCTCTTGTAGCCCAGGTTGGAGAGCAATGGTGGGATCTCGGTTCACTGTAACCTCCATCTCGTGGGTTCAAGTGATCCACCCGCCTCAGCCTCCCGAGTATCCTCCACCACGCACCCACCACCACACCCAGCTCATTTTGTATTTTTAATAGAGGCAGGGTTTCACCATGTTGGCCAGGCTGGTCTCGAACTCCCGACCTCAGGTGATCCACCTGCCTTGGCCTCCCAAAGTGCTGGGATTACAGGTGTGAGCCACCACGCCCGACCAATATATCCACTTTTAAATGTATTCCTAACAATAATATCCTGCGAGGGGTAATACTGCATGCTGAGCTATCTTCCACTTGCTTTTCCAGACCAGCTTTCTACCCTGCCCTGTGCTGTGTGTCAGGAGCCTGAGCCTGCCCCTTAGGAAAACCTACTGGGACCTGGCCCTCTACCAGAGACCGGAGGCAGGAACAGGAGGCTGGGACACGGACCTCCTTGCCCACTCAGATTGAGGCTTACACCTCCAGTCCAAGAAGCCCTCCCCAGTGACTCTTCCCTCTCCTGGTACTGCTGTCTTCCCTGATCCTTTGGCGTCCAGGAGTAGAAACTCCACTGACACAGTTCCAGGATAAAGGACCAACCGTCATTTACCTATACTCTCTTTGCAAACGGTCCCTTTATAAACCCTCCTCAAATCCTCCTGTGAGCATGAAAAATGATTTTTTTTTTAAAATGTATTTGAGAAAGAGTCTCGCGCTGTTGCCTGGGCTGGAGCACGGTGGTGCAGTCTCGGCTCACTGCAACCTCCACCTCCCTGGTTCAAGGGATTCTCCTGCCTCGGTTTCCCAAGTTGCTGGGATTACAGGCGCCTGCCACCACACCCGGCTACTTTTTTGTATTTTTAGTAGAGATGGGGTTTCACCATGTTGGCCAGGCTGGTCTTGAACTCCTGACCTCATGATCGGCTCGACTCGGCCTCCCAAAGTGCTGGGATTACAGGTGTGAGCCACCGCGCTCAGCAGAAACCTCATTCTTGACTTTACATTTTTTATGCCCATCTAAAGCAGTGGAGGCTGAGACTCAGAGAGGTTAAGTCACTTGCCCAAAGTCACACAGTATCCTCTGGCCTCCCTGGCATGTTGCTGACACCTGCATTTTACCGCAGGAATCTTCCCACTGAGGTTCACGTACACATAGACTTCCCAAGGGACTAAGGCCAGGATAATTTCAAAGGAATCCATTTTCTCAAGTTTTGCTACGTTCTCTCTGCTAAAACAGAACTGCCTGAGGACGAACTTGCGTTTAAAACAATATGAGTTATCCTTTCCTATTTTTTTTCAAATGGGTCCACCCCTTTACAAAAGAAAGGTATTTCTCCAGCGACATTGCCCAACAATTCCCTGATTCCCATTCACAGGTCTGCGTGAACGCCATTCCTCCGCTGCTGCAGCTACGAGAACGTAAACGGGAACAGAACGGATAACCGGCTCTCACTGGGCAAAAGCCACCCACGGACAGTGAACTATCTGGCAATGCGTCTCCTTGAGGAGCGTTTACAATACAAAACTTTATTTTTATCATCCAAATGTGCATATATTTATGTTGTTTTGTGCAACTGTACACTACCAATAATCACTTTAAAATTCCAGAAGAAAATGTTTAATACTTACAGCCGTAAGTATTAGGCAAATACTTAGGCAAATTCCTAAACAACTTGACTCGGAACTCACACGCGGCACCCATCCCTGTGACAGAGAAGCACGCGGGTGGCTGACAGGACTTCCGACCCCCAAACGCGGCTCTGCGGAGAGAGTGGGGCAGGACTGGGGAGCAAGGCGCCGCTCCCCACCGCGGTTCGCAGCCCGGCAGCCCTCCAGGCTTCTCAGCTCCTAGGCCGGGGCCTCTCCCGCTCCCAGCGGCCCCGTACCCCGCGGCAAAGCCGAGGCCCCTCCTCGCACCCGGGCCGCGACCACCCCCGGGGACCAAGCTCCCCGCTCCCGCACTCACCGGCTCGGGAGAGCACGTCACTTCCGGGGCGTCGCAAGCGGCCGACCACTTCCGGGGCCTCTCGGCTTGGGCAGCGCCAAGCCCTGCCTAGTGCGCAGGTGCAGAAGATACGCCGGCGGAACCGAGGAGGGACCTTGTCCCTAGGAGCGGGAGCAGGAGGAACAGCGGGAAGGCTGCGGAGCGCTCAGCTGCACCCGCGCTTTTCGCCGGCGCCCTCGCTGCCGAACACAAGGACAGCCGCCCCGCCCGTTCCACCCGGTGTCCAGGGACCCCCAGCTCCTCCGACCCCTCCGGCGTTTGCGGAGCCTCCCAGGTCTGATGAGGACACCGCCCTTGCCCGAGGAGGCTACTGGGCAACGCAGAGCAGGCAGTGGGGACCGCAGGGCAGCCCCGGGACGCCGTCCCCACCGCCCTGTCCCTGGCTCCGCCTTCCCGCCGCGGGGAATGCGGCGCGGACGCACGGTGACTGCCCAGGAGCCGAGGTGACAATCTACCGGGTCTTGGTAGTAAGTATTTGCAAAACAAATCACACCAAAATCCCATTAACTTCATGAAAACCCACTTTATAGGATGATTTTTGAAGAACCAGTTTATTAAGAGATTACACCAAAAGCATGAACAATTTATACGTCAATCTCCGGCTGAAAAAAAAAATTAACCGATAAGGATGTTTTTTAAATGTACTGTACTCACAAATAACAAGACAAATTTGACCTGTTCAATAAATAGAAATGAAGTGGCTAAAAATTTTTAAATGGAAAAGTCTTCTTTGTACAGTTTTGAAGGGATGCCCCCTATTCAAGCCTATACGTAGAAAAACTCTGACAAAATCAGAGGTTTACTTAAGACTCCAACCATATGAGTGTATTAAGGTTTCTTTTCAGATCTTAGGAGATCTTGTCCACCTTAATCCCATTCATAAAGACTCTTGGCATGAGTTCTGATGTACTGTTTTAATATGCTAAGTACTGTCGATTCAACAACAAACCCTAATGGGTGATGAGCTTTTGCATACCAATATGAATTTGTCAGCCCTTCTGAAAATTGTGGTCATCATTTTTCAAATTCACAATTTGCTGGATGTCAGGGAACAAGAAGAAGAATGAGCGTCAATTTTCACATCTTCCTTTGCTTCTCCACTGGCCTTCCATAGAAGTAGTCAGAAAAAAACAAAGCACCATCAACCACACTTCACAAACAATTCATGTTAGCCTAAGCTTTTCTCAACATTCATAGGACAGAAGATAGAGTAAGTTAATGAGAAGGAATTGCTGGCATCACTTTCCATCACAATATTACATAAAAATGGACAACACATTAAATAAACATTCTGTTATTAATCATTAAATATATTAACACCAAAAATCATGTATAAATTAGGAAATAAATGTACAAACTATTTTGCAAAGTGCTTTTTAAAATATATACACAACATTCAAGATATTCTTAATGTAAGACATTTCAGATTGAAGTTTTGGGATAAGTGTCCTTTTCTTTCAGAAAGTATTATTAATACAGCACTTAAAAAAACACACAAACACACATAAAAGGCATATTCCCAGATTGGCAAGGAATAAAAATAAACTATTTTCACAGTTATCTAAAATGTTTAACATTTTCAGTGGGAAATTTTAGTCCCCGATTGAGTTTGCAAATTAGTTCTATGAAAATCGACAGGAAAAGAACAAAATCAAGGGAGATGACTCCCTAACTGAAATTGCTAATACGTTTGTCAATTAGCAATTAACTCTCATTTCAGTAATTTAATATGAACATATACATTTATTTTTAAGCCCTCACCAGTGTTAAGGGTTTTAAAAACCCTTACGCCTACAAAATAAACACTTCTGTCCCCATTTGTGTGTGACATCTGTCCCGTAGAGGAGGGGAGAATGTCCTGGAACAGGACTGGTATTCGGCACAGGCAAGTCCTTTAATCTGTGCCTCAGTTCTTCATCTCTAACATGGGAACTGTTACTCCAGATTTCCTCATAGGGGCTGTCAGGATTAATTCAGGCAAAACACATAAGTGACTTGTAAATTCTAAAGCAACTCTGGATAATTACTTTTAACTGTGTGTGTGTGTGTGTGTGTGTGTGTGTTTTGAGACAGAGTTTCACTCTTGTCGCCCAGGCTGGAGTGCCATGGCGCAATCTTGGCTCACTGCAACCTCCGCCTCCCAGGTTCAAGCCATTTCTGCTGCCTCAGGTTCCCGAGTAACTGGGATTACAGGCATGCGCCACCACGCCTGGCTAATTTTGTATTTTTAGTAGGGACGGGGTTTCTCCATGTTGGTCAGGCTGGTCTTGAACTCCCAACCTCAGGTGATCTGCCTGCTTCAGCCTCTCAAAGTGCTGGGATTACAGGTGTGAGCCACTGTGCCCGGCCAAGAATTTTAACTTTTAAAACAAAACATCAATTGAAGAGAAATATCATTATTAGTAGGCCTCATATATCAAGCATTGGATATCTTTTGTATTTTCTTGGTAGTTCTTGGAAATTCATCAGCATTTATCCAAAGATTTTTTTAAAAGGATTAATGGCAAATATGAATATTATTATTCCACGTAAAGGTTGATCAAAAGTCCATGCTACTTATTAATGGAAATGTGGGATTTTTTTTTTCCTTTGACCATACTTTTGCAAGTGTGCTGTCTTTAATGTTCACACAGAATTTAAATGGGATTTAATGTCCTAGAAATGTAAAAATTACTCAAGTTTCTCTATAAAAAACCTTTACTTTTCATTAGAAAGAACACAGTAATGTTAGTGGATGTGACTTTCAGACATCCCTAAAAGAAAAGAAATGCTTGCTTGGAGATCTGAGCAAGTAGGTCCTGGAAGAAATAATATAAAATAAACAACTTGCCAACTGTTTGGAAAATTTGATTTGAATATTTTAAATTACCTATCAACTTAGAATCGGGCGTATTAACTATTCCAATCCCAGAAATGACCATCAGCTGAACAAGGGTCAGAGCCAGAGTAACCCAGAGAGCTGCCTCTTTCCCTCAGCAATGCCGCCGGCCCCGGGTTAGGCGACTCGCCCGCGGCCCTTAGGGATTCGTATTTGTCTGGGATACAGTCACCGATCCCTGTTTACTTTTTAATTCAAAACTATGTTTCATATTTATCTGGAATACAGTCACCGATCCCTGTTTACTTTTTAATTCAAAACTATGTTTCATATTTATCTGGAATACAGTCACTGATCCCTGTTTACTTTTTAATTCAAAACTATGTACCTTTTTGGATAAACGGAGCTGGCGAGAGACAGGCGATGAGCAAGCTCTGGAAGTGGCCATCTGTGGCCTCTCCCGTGGGAGGTGCTTATCCTTTTCGTTATGTAACAGAAACTGGCCCAACACACAGAAGATGCCCTCCCACCCACCCCATCGAGGCACAGGAAGAGGCTGCCCTCCAGGGGCTGTGTGTGTCCAGCTGTGGTGTAGCCAGTTAAAGAGAAGTTGACAACCCACACGACAACACTGCACGGGGAGGGAACGAGACCTAAGGTCTGCTGACGGGAACAGGTGGACTGTGGTGTCCTCGAGATCTGTCCTGCCCCTGGGTACAGAATGCTGATGACAAAATGGCCCCCAAAGCTAGCTAGGAACATTGAGAAGGGGGCAGGGGGACAAAAAAAGGACACCTCTCCATGTACCGACATACAATACTATACACAGCACCAAAAGTATCACACCACCAAGCGCTGTCTCGCGCCAGGGGTGCGCGCTCGGCGTCATACCCAGCATGAAATGAGCACGCTTCACATGCAGACGTGGCACTGGGCGAAAGGGTAACCAACATGTCACAGTTCACCAGAGCTGCCGCCAGCCCATCCGGCCCCTGGATGAACACGCTACCACAAGGGCTCCAGCCAGAACGTGTGTCCCTCACTGCTGGTAATTTCCATACTGGCCCTAAAAGAGATCAAGACACAGATTACACCCCTATAGTCACGAGTAAAAGGAAGACAGACGTCCACCCCAGCCAGGACACGGGGTAGGAGGGACAATGGCAAGCAAACCACCTCTGCCCACATCTCAGGCGGGCAGCGAACGGCTTTCCAGAAGCCACCGGCCAAGCCTGGGGCTAACAACGTAGAGAGGGCCAAAGGTTCATTCGTTCAGTCGCACGCTGGCATCGCTGCGGCTGGGCCTGTGCCAGGCCTGGCATCAGAGCCTTACCCTGGGCCTGCTATGCAGGAAGGCTCTCCTCCAAGTTGGCCCCCTGGGAGCTGATGCAAACACCATCTGTCCCCCAGCCCGCTAAAGTAAGAAAACGGGAGCGGGGACGACCAGGGTAATGCGTTTCAATCTATAAAAAAATCTGAAGACCCGGCCTGGGCAACATGGCCAGAATCCATCTCTACAAAAATCCAAAACTTAGCCGGGTGTGGTGGCGTGTGCCAATAGTCCCAGCTACTTGAAAGGTGAGGTGGGAGGATGGCTTGAGCCCAGGAGGTCAAGGCTGCAGTGAGCCATGATTATGCCACCGCACTCTAGTCTGGGTGAGACACTATTTCCAAAAAAAAAAAAAATCTGAATTTGGAGGCTGAGGTAGGAGGACTGCTTGAGCCCAGGAGTTTGAGACCAGCCTGGGCAGCACAGCAAGACACCATCTGTACCAAAAAATGGAAAAAAGTAGCTTCAGCCAGGCGCAGTGGCTCATGCCTGCAATCCCTGCACTTTGGGAGGCCAAGGTGGGCGGATTACTTGAGGTCAGGAGTTCAAGACAAGCCTGGCCAACACAGTGAAACCCCGTCTCTACTAAAAATTAAAAAAAAAATTAGCCAGGTGGTAGTGGCACGTGCCTGTAATCCCAGCTACTTGGGAGGCTGAGGCAGGAGAATCACTCGAGCCTGAGAGGTGGAGGATGCAGTGAACTGAGATCATGCCACTGTGTTCCAGCCTGGCGACAGAGTGAGACCCTGTCTTAAAAAAAAAAAAAAGAGGCCAGGCATGGTGGCTCATACCTGTAATCCCAGCACTTTGGGAGGCTGAGGTGGGAGGATCACCTGAGGTCAGCAACTCGAGACCAGCCTGGCCAACATGGCAAAACCCCGTCTCTACTAAAAATACAAAAATTAGCTGGGTGTGGTGGCACGTGCTTGTAATCCCAGCTACTCAGGACGCTGAGGCAGGAGAATCGCTAGAACCCGGGAGGCGGAGGCTGCAGTGAGCGAGATCGCACCACTGCACTCCAACCCGGACAACAGAGCGAGACTCCGTCTCAAAGAACAACAACAACAACAGACGAAAACAACAGCATGAAGAGAGAACTAGAGAGCCCATGCCCCACAAGGCCACAAGACAGAGAATTCCTTGAGCAGCGAAACGGAGCATCGGATCTGTGGTAAAAGCCGCTCGGGTGACTGCCACAGAGGAAGACAACGATCATTGCATGCCTGAGTCTCCCTGTGCCCCCAGCTAGTTAATGATCAGATTTCCTGAGTGCCTGCAGCAAGGAAGTCGGGGAGGGAGGAAAGCTGTTCCCGCCTGACCAAGAATCCAGTCCACATAACGTTCCTGGTGAACACAGCCTGTCACATTTTCATTCCCAGAGCCGCCTGTGATGGTCCTAGTTAGCAGGAGTCCGTTCTGATGTCTTTCTGCCCCTGCACCATTGGGTAAGATGGAAAGCCTCAAAGCCAGAGCTGCTCAGCTGAAGGCATGGCAGCCCTTGAGCCCTGTAAAACCACGGGCAGCCCCAACGCCTCAGCACTTCAGTGTTTTTTTTTTTTTTTTGGGACGGGAGTTTCGCTCTTGTTGCCCAGGCTGGAGTGCAATGGCGCGATTTCGTCTGTCTCCGTCCGCTCCCGCCCACCTCGGCTTCCCAAAATGCTGGGATTATAGGCGTGAGCCACTGTGCCTGGCCACCTCAGCACATTTTTAAGTGTAGCCCAGTGGTTCTCATATGGAGACAATTTTGCCCTGGGGGGCATCTGGCAATGTCTGGAGCCATTTTAAATTGTCAGACTGGGCAACGGGGGTGCTACTGGCATCGTGGGTGGAGGCCAGGGATGCTGCAAACATAACACCGCGTGCACGACGGCCCCTAGGAGACACCCAACGCCGGCAGTGCTGTGCCAAACGCCATGGCCAGTTACACTTGATTCTGACTAAAGACTATGTTATGTTAATATTCTGCAGTTAGATGGACACAATTCCCCCTAAATGTGGAATTCTCTGTCTTCTCCATTGCTTTGTGTCTTTTCTTTTCTTTGTTTTGAGATGGAGTCTCACTCTGTCACTCAGGCGGGAGTGCAGTGGCGCGATCTCAGCTCACCTCTGCCTTCCCAGTTCAAGCGATTCTCCCACCTCAGCTTCCCGAGTAGCTGGGCTTACAGGCACCCTGCTAATTTTTGTATTTTTAGCAGAGATGGGGTTTTACCATGCTGGCCAGGCTGGTCTCGAACTCCTGACTGCAGGTGATCTACCAGCCTCAGCTTCCCAAAGTGCTGGGATTACAGGTGTAAGCCACCATACCTGGCCTTTCTTTTTCGTTTTTTTAAGACAAAGTCTTGCTCTCTATAGTCCAGGCTGGAGTGTAATGGTGCAGTCACGGCTCACTACAGCCTCGACCTCCTGGGCTCAAGGGATCCTCCTGCCTCAGCTTTCCAAGTAGCTGGGATTACAGGTATGCACCACCATGCCCGACTACTTTTTTTATTTTTTGTAGAGACAGGTCTCGCTATGTTGCCCAGGCTGGTCTCAAACTCCTGGGCTCTAGCAATCCTCCTGCCTTGGCCTCCCAAAGTGCTGGAATTACAGGTATGGGCCACCACAACCAGTCACGGTCCTTTCATAGGTAGGCATAAAGTTATATGTCCTTTGGTTCAGTCTTATAATTAAGTTAGGACATTCACTTATTTCACAAAATCCAAGTAAGCTGTTTTCAGGACTGTATGAAGGAGGTATAGTGTCTCGTCAGAATCATTAATTCTAATTTGGATGCAGACTGCTGTCCTTCCAGACCCCAGCATGACGCTCCTGTGCAAGCCTAGAGGGCCAAGCTGGGGCCTGCTCCCCGCTGACCGGCGCCCAGCACACACTGGGGAGAGGCGGCCCCTGGCGTCGGCTGCAGTGGCCTCACGGTGTCCTGAGAGCACACCAGGAGCACTCCTAACGTCTGTGTAAATGCCTCATCGGCGTGCCCTTCCCAGGCATGACCTTCTGAGTACTGTGCCCTGGCAGGGGGCCTGTGTTACATGATCTTTAGGCTTCTCTACATCTACCTGGTGACCCTTTGCCCTCTTGAGGGAGGAGGACGAGAAGCATTTAAAAAATAGTATTCGGCCTCTTACCTACCCAGTTCCCTGAGAAAAACAACCTTGATCGACGTAGTGCTTTGAAATTTCACTGGCGGTGTAAAGTGTCCCTAACACCTCTGGCCAGCTCAGAGTCACCAACACAGAGCCACTTCCTGCTAAGGACTCTCTCAAAGGAGGCTCCAAAAAATGTCCAAGACCATTCTCCTTCGTATGCCCCATGCTCCAGCCACCGAGCCTTCTTCGGGCTGCCTTCACTGGGACAAACCTCCCGGTGCCTCAGGACCTTGGCACGCCCTCTTCCTGTGCCTGGCTCATTCTCCTCTAGGAGGCCCTCGCTCCTGCAGTGCTCCCGCCACACAGACCCTGTCCTCCTCCAGAGGGAAGGCGATGCCTGCTTTATGGAGGCCCCCACGCCCACCTGTCCCTGTCACCTCCCGCCAAGCCGGCCTCCTCACTGTCCCAAGAGCTCCCGCTCTTCCATCTTCCAAGCTGCTCTTTCCTCAGCTCCTTCAAAGCCCTGCTCACTGTTCCTGGGCAGAAAGGGCTCCCCCTCCCTGGGCTGAGCCTGGGGCTGCCACTCCCCGCTGTGTCTTCGTCCTGGAATTGTCCACAGGGGCCAAATGCAGCCGCCTGTGCCCCCACCTGGAAGGCGGGCTCCACTCGGGGCCTGCCACTCTGATCTCAGCACGGTCTGGCCTATGGGACAACTTTATGTCTCCGTAGCGAGATAATAAGCTCTGAAAGCGCAGGGTTCGTGGCACGGCCACACACCAAGCACCCAGCAGAGACCGGACACGTGCCCAGTACGCGACAAACACTGGCAGAGTGAACGAATGTGAGAACCAGGCATGCAGATCTAACGGTGAGCTCAGGGTATGAAAAGCCAGCTGGATGACTGAGGTGAGCATATACACAGAGGTAATTCTGAAAAACCTTACAGGCTCAGAGACTTAACATTCTGGAAAGAACCCTGGAAGCCAGTTAGTTCCAGCTCATTATTCCTCACGGCCATAAGAGAAATCTTCATTATGTCTCCACAGGCGCGGTGGATGGGCACATCTGGAAACATCCAGAAAGCTTGCCTGTTCATAGCCGTAGGGCCGCTGCTGCTGGGCAGACGGCGCTGTCTGCGGTGCTCGGTAGCTTCCGTACTGCTGGCCTTGGCCTTGCTGGTAGCTGGGGTACTGTGACGGGGCTCCCTGGGCAGGCCCTGAGAAAACACCAGGAACTGTGAGGCCAAAACGGGCGCATCTTTATTTTTTTTCTTAACTTAAAAATTTTCTAAAAGCTTCTTCCTCTTTTCCTTAAAAAATTCCTGTCTCAATGCATCAGCCTTTTGTCAATCTCCAGAACGCCTGGCACCTGCACGTGCTCCTCGTTAACTCTGAACAGCGAGAGCACCACACAACCGACTCCCCAGCCCCTCCAGTCCTGTGAGGTCCCAGGACGGTGCCCCAGGCCCCCACCAGCATGGGGAGGGCTGATGGGCTCTCTCCATCTCCCCCGAGCTGCTGCTACCTGAGGGCAGGAGAGCCCTCCAGAACCCACTGGCACCAGTCACACTGGCTGCTGCAACTTGTAACTTAACGATCACAGGAGCTGCTGGAAACCTGCAGGCAGGTGAGACAGAGGCACCGTCTCTAGGAAGCCTAAGTCAAAGGCTCCGGAAAGAACTGATACGATAGAGGCCTTTTTTTTTTTTTTGAGACGGAGTCTCACTCTGCCGCCCAGGCTGGAGTGCAATGGCCGGATCTCAGCTCACTGCAAGCTCCGCCTCCCGGGTTTACGCCATTCTCCTGCCTCAGCCTCCCGAGTAGTTGGGACTACAGGCGCCGCCACCTCGCCCAGCTAGTTTTTTGTATTTTTTAGTAGAGACGGGGTTTCACCGTGTTAGCCAGGATGGTCTCGATCTCCTGACCTCGTGATCCGCCCACCTCGGCCTCCCAAAGTGCTGGGATTACAGGCTTGAGCCACCGCGCCCGGCCTTTTTTTTTTTTTTTTTAAACGACAGGGTCACACTCTGTCACCCAGCCCAGGCTGGAGTGCAGTGCTGTGATCTTGACTCACCGCAACCTCCACCTCCCAGGCTCAAGCGATTCTCCTGCCTCAGCCTCCCAAGTAGCTGAGACCACAGGAGTGTGCCACCATGCCCTGCTAATTTCTGTATTTTTTGTAGAGATGATCTCACTATGTCACCCAAGCTGGTCTCGAACTCCTGGGCTCAAGCAATCCTCCTACCTCAGCCTCCCAAAGTGCTGGGATTACAGACATGACCCACCACACTGAGCCTCAAGTAATATTTTATTTTTATTTTTTGAGGAGTCGTCTCGCTCTGTCACCTAGGCCGAAGTGCAGTGGTGTGATCTCGGCTCACTGTGACCTCTACCTCCTGGTTCAAGCAATTCTCCTGTCTCATCTCCTGAGTAGCTGGGACTACAGGCCCCCACCACCACACCCAGCTAATTTTTGTATTTTTAGTACAGACGAGGTTTCACCATATTGGTCAGGCTGGTCTTGAACTCCTGACCTCAGGTCATCCAATCACCTCGGCCTCCCAAAGCGCTGGGATTACAGGCGTGAGCCACTGTGCCCAGCCTCCTCAAGTGATTTTTATACTATTTATTGTAATGGCTGTAAAGGGCTGAACAAGCACAGCAGAATCAGGCACGAGCCTCATAAGAAACCATGTGTGTGTAGCTCATCCTGAGAACTGAGATTTTGCTCCAACAAAAGACCTGGGGCAGCCCAGAACTTATTTGTCAGAAGTTTCCTGGGTGATTCTAAGCTGCAGTGAAGGCTGAGACCCACAGGCTTTGACCTGCTCTGTCAAAGAGGTCGAAGCTGGGCATGAGGCGTGCAGGTGGCAGACAGATGGGACACTGGCAACCGTCACAGGCCACGTGGGCAATGAATTTATGTTCAAGTTAAAATAAGATGTTTCAGGTCTACATGCATGTATGTTTCCAACTTTTCTGGAAACCTAGAAGTATCCAAAATAAGTTTATCACACTTCTGCCTGCACACCAGGGTCACTGTGCACGTACCCATGTGCAGCAGGGGTGGGCGCTGGGGGGCCCCGAGGAACGTGCTCCCCTCTTACCGTAGCCCTGCTGCTGCCCGGGGTAGCTCTGCTGGCTGGGGTACTGCTGCTGGGAGTAGGTCTGCTGCTGCGCGGCGCCCTGCTGGTACCCAGCCTGCTGCTGGCTGTACTGGGAGTTTCCTGGAGGGAGGAGGAGACACAGAAATGACTTTCCACCTGGGCTAAGGGGGCTCATTCTGAGGCCCACTCACGACACGGTAACTTTGGAATCCCAAAACCAAATCCATTGCTTCGGCATGTTCATTTTTTCACAACGTTTCAAATACTATATTACACCTTTTCTGTTTTTTTTTTTTTTTTTGAGATGGAGTCTTGTTCTGTCGCCCAGGCTGGAGTGCAGTGGCACGATCCCGGCTCACTGCAAGCTCCGCCTCCCGGGTTCACGCCATTCTCCTGCCTCAGACTCCCGAGTAGCTGGGACTACAGGCGCCCGCTGCCACGCCTGGCTAATTTTTTTGTATTTTTAGTAGAGACAGGGTTTCACCGTGTTAGCCAGGATGGTCTCGATCTCCTGACCTCATGATCTGCTCGCCTCGGCCTCCCAAAGTGCTGGGATTACAGGCGTGAGCCACCGCGCCCGGCCCATTTTTCTTGTCTTATAGAAATACAAATGGAAAGCTAAGAAACAAAACGGCTAATACGACGACTAAGACAGAGATGAACGCCAGTGCCGCAGGTCAAACTGCTCCCCAGAGAGATGCTTAAGTCCTAACTCAAGCACCTGTGAACGGGACCTTATTTGGACCTAGGGTCTCTGCACATACAATTTTTTTTTTCTTTTTTTTTTTCAGAGACAGGGCCTCCCTCTGGCACCCAGGCTGGAGTGCAGTGGTGTAATCAGAGCTCACTGCAGCCTCCATCTCCCTGGCTCAAGCGCTCCCCTCACTTCAGTCTCCCAAATAGCTAGAACTACAGTGTGTGCCAGTGTGCCCAGATAACCTTTCTTTTTTTGAGACGGAGTCTCGCTCGGTCGCCTAGGCTGGAGTGCAGTGGCGCGATCTCAGCTCAGTGCAAGCTCCGCCTCCCAGGTTCGTGCCATTCTCCTGCCTCAGGCTCCCAAGTAGCTGAGACTACAGGCCCCCACCACCACCCACAATGCCTCGCCACAACGCCAGGCTAATTTTTTGTATTTTTAGTAGAGATAGGGTTTCACCGTGTTAGCCAGGATGGTCTCGATCTCCTGACCTTGTGATCTGCTTGCCTCGGCCTCCCAAAGTGCTGGGATTACAGGCATAAATCACCATGCTCCATGCAAAGAATTCATTTTTCTACTTCACTTTTCTGGTTGGAAATAACTTTCCTTTTTTAGAAGCTGTAAAATGTAAGTATTTTAAAACTGCAATCTAGTATTTTTTTAAATAACAGCTTTATTGAGATAATGCACATTGGAATGGCTTAAAAACCTATCAGGGTAATTCAATCTGTAGTTAGATGGGATGACAAAACACACACATGCTCTTATTCCAGGCTGAACTCCTCCTAATGCGAGAGCTTTGGAAAAACTTACTTGAGCCTTTCCAGTTATTCTTTTTTTTTTTTTTTTTTTGAGACGGAGTCTCGCTCTGTCGCCCAGGCTGGAGTGCAGTGGCCGGATCTCAGCTCACTGCAAGCTCCGCCTCCCAGGTTCACACCATTCTCCTGCCTCAGCCTCCCAAGTAGCTGGGACTACAGGCGCCCACCACCTCGCCCGGCTAGTTTTTTGTATTTTTTAGTAGAGACGGGGTTTCACCGTGTTAGCCAGGATGGTCTCGATCTCCTGACCTCGTGATCCACCCGTCTCGGCCTCCCAAAGTGCTGGGATTACAGGCTTGAGCCACCGCGCCCGGCTCCAGTTATTCTCTATCCAGGAAATATCTTGAGTCCTGAACTTCCACGCCTTCCTCAAAATCCAGGGGCAGTTCCAGCAACAGCTGGCAAATGAGCTGTCACCATCACGGGAGAAGGCTTAAGGCCACTGTCCTTTATCCTGCCCCCATGAAAGCCATCTGAGACATGGTGGGTGGGCTTTCAAGGGTGTCAGGGTCAGCCTGCATATTCTCATGTTTGATAGCCCACTTTATTCTTTACATAATAAAGGAGCCAGTTTTCGGCCGGGCGTGGCGGCTCACGCCTGTAATCCCAGCACTTTGGGAGGCCGAGGTGGGCGGTTCACAAGGTCAGGAGATCGAGACCATCCTGGCTAACACGGTGAAACTCCGTTTCTACTAAAAATACAAAAAATTAGCCAGGCGTGGTGGTGGGCGCCTGTAGTCCCAGCTACTCCGGAGGCTGAGGCAGGAGAATGGTGTGAACCCAGGAGGAGGACGTTGCAGTGAGCGGAGATCGCGCCACTGCACTCCTGGGCGATAGAGACTCCGTCTCATAAATAAATAAATAAATAAACAAATAAAGGAGTCAGTTTGTAGGACACGGGCCAGCTTTGCCCTGGCACACAGCAGGTATGCAGCAGCAGTATGAGTGCCAGCTCAGAACACCCAGCCCCAGCACACAGGGACCAGGCCTGGCTCTCACACCCCAGAGGGTGCTCAAGTGATCTAGTGTGAACTGGCAGCAGCCGCCCTATCCCCAAAGAAAGGGGGCTGCTGAGATAACTCTACAGGGAAAGGGGGCACAACTTCTGTAGAAAAGGCCTTCGCTGTTTTCAGACGTGTTTCATGACATCTGCAGGGCCGGTGGGGAGCCCAGGCAACGGGGCGAGCAGATGTGGGGCCTTCCTCCACAACCAGCAAGTACTCCAGGGTTCTTTTTCTTTTCGAGACAGAGTCTCACTCTGTCACCCAGGCTGGAGTGCAGTGGAGCGATCTCGGCTCAATGCAAGCTCCGCCTCCGGGGTTCACGCCATTCTTCTGCCTCAGTCTCCGAGTAGCTGGGACTGCAGGCGCCCACTACCACGCCCGGCTAATTTTTTTGTATTTTTAGTAGAGACAGGGTTTCACCATGTTAGCCAGGATGGTCTTGATCTCCTGACCTTGTCATCTGCCCACCTCGGCCTCCCAAAGTGCTGGGATTATAGGCGTGAGCCACCGCGCCTGGCTCTTTTCTTTCTCTATTCTAAGAACCCTCTGGCATTCTGCAGGGTGCCTGTGAGAAGGTGCTGGGCAGCGCGGCGCATCTGTGAAACAAGAGGCCAGAGCACACCCTCTGCTTGCTCAGAAGGAGCAATCAGCCACGAGAAACAAGTGAACGACGCTCAAAGCCGTGTCACATAAAAACACAGTGATCCACACGAGGATGCAGCCGAGGAGGCCCGAGCGCTGCCTGGGGAAGATGTGTCCCGCAGACCCCGGCCACACCACCCTGTTGTCCACTCCTGGGACACGCTGGTCACCACCTGGCAAGAGCTGAGAAATGCACATGACACGCCAGCCATGCTCGCGACTCCAGGAGGCGTGGATGGTGTGGACAGCCCTAAAGTGAGGTCCTTTCAGTTTCTGTGACAGCCAATGAGGTTCCTTTTTTGAGATGGAGTCTTGCTCTGCTGCCCCAGGCTAGAGTGCAGTTGCGTCATCTTGGCTCACTGCAACCTCTGCCTCCTGGGTTCAAGTGATTCTCGTGCCTCAGCCTCGCAAGTAGCTGGAATTACAGACATGTGCCACCATGCCCCGCTAATTTTTGTATTTTTGGTAGAGACGGGGTTCTACAATGTTGGCCAGGCTGGTCTTGAACTCCTGACCTCAAGTGATCCACCCACCTCAGCCACCCAAAGCACTGAGATGATAGGCCTGAGCCACTGTGCCCAGCCCCACTGATGTTTAATTTAACTTCTGAAGCTGCCAACACATCTACATGATTCAAAGGTAAACAGAGACAGACCTACACCTTCAAGAGGTTCTGGGAAGGTGGCCGCTTCCACCCCTGCTCTGGACTGCCTGAGCCCGAACCCCATCTCCTACCCATAAGCATTTCTGTTGGTTGTGTTGGTGTTTGCCCATTGGCTGATGGTGTGAGTGTGCGTGTGTGCAAAGGTACTGTCCCATCTTGCCTGCATTTTCACAGAGGCACATCCCACACACCCAGCTCCATACCTGGCTTTTGCAGCTCATGGGCGGTCTCTCCTAGCGGCAATGACGCCCAGATGCCAGGTCGCGAGGGGCTGGGCTCTGTCCAGTCTGATCCACTGCAAACCTCACTGTGATACAAGTGTGGCACTTGCACCCCTCCCCTGGCTCCTCCCCCACCGAGCACCACATCCCAATGCTCCTGCCCAGCACGAGTGACCCCGTGGCCTCTGCTGTCCCCTCCCGGTTTGGTCGGCCCCACTCTGGTCCCCTCCTATTACTGGTGCCCAGGGCATGAGCACCCTCTCGTTTTATCAGATTCTGCAGGCTCCTAACTGATGCCACCACTAGGAACAATTCCAGCACCAGCCTGTCCCACTCATCCTGCTGTGGGATGACTCAAAGTTGGAAAATTCTTTTTATTCTGTTGCCAAGGCTGGAGCGCAGTGGTGTGATCATAGTTAACTGCAGCCTTGACCTCCCGGGCTCAAGCTATGCTCCTGCCTCAGACTCCCAAGTAGCTGGGACAACAGGCACATGCCACCACACCTGGTTAATGTTTTTGATTTTTAGTAGAGAGGGGGTCTTACTATGTTGCCTAGGCTGGTCTCAACTTCTCAGGCTCACGTGATCCTCTGCCCTGGCCCCCACAATGCTGGGATCACACATGGAAGCCACCACACCCAGCCTGATGCTGGGATCACAGGTGGGAGCCACTGTACCCAGCCTGGAAAATTCTTTATGGTGCCTTTGACCCATTCCTCCTAACGTCCCCCCCAGCCTCTCCACTGCACCATGGGCCACAATTGTGTTTGAAGGTGGCTATGACATGTCCACCAGTTTCTTCAAAGCAAAGCACCCCCAGGCCTCTCAGCCCTGCAAGACTTCATAGTACCACCTGCTGTATGGTAAAGTGTCACCTACAGACGTGTCCTCCTCGTGTCAGAGTCGAATTAACAAGCAGATGGAATAAAATGCTTCTAAATCAAGGAGGAAACCACGCCGTCTGTCTTACTGGTCTTAAGAGGTTACTAAGCTTTTTAGCAAATTTCTTTTTTTTTTTTTTTTTTTTTTTTGAGACGGAGTCTACTCTGTCGCCCAGGCTGGAGTGCAGTGGCCGGATCTCAGCTCACTGCAAGCTCCACCTCCCGGGTTTACGCCATTCTCCTGCCTCAGCCTCCCGAGTAGCTGGGACTACAGGCGCCCGCCACCTCGCCCGGCTAGTTTTTTGTATTTTTTTTAGTAGAGACGGGGTTTCACCGTGTTAGCCAGGATGGTCTCGATCTCCTGACCTCGTGATCCGCCCGTCTCGGCCTCCCAAAGTGCTGGGATTACAGGCTTGAGCCACCGCGCCCGGCCTGCAAATTTCTCATCAATGATGGAAGGCAAGAGTATGTAACCCACGACAAGCTACAGAAGTACGTATCAGCCGGGCACGATGGTGCCCACCTGGAGCCCCCCACTGCAGGAGGATGAGATGGCACTTGAGCCCAGGAGTTCAAAACCAGCCTGGGCAACATGGCGAGACCTTATCTCTACAAAAAAAAAAAAAAAAAAAAAAGCCAGGCCTGGTGGTGCATGCCTGTACTCCCAGCAATTCAAGAGGCTGAAGCAGGAGGATCACCTGAGCCTGGGATTTCAAGGCTGCAGTGTGCCACGATCACGCCACTGCACTTCAGCCTAGGTGACAGGGCAAGACCCTGTCTCTTTAAAAAAAAAAAAAAAAAAAAAGCTACATCAGACATTAAAAGGCTGAGCAGCACATCCTGCGTTTGTTTTTGGGATAAAGTATGTCAGCCTTGGGCAGATGCATGTGGACGCCTCGCCATGGACAAGGCTGAACCCTGTGCCCCAGCTGGAAGGGACAGGGCCAGGCCCATGATGGCAGAGATCCTGCCGGCTCCCAGGGCTTATGGAGGCACCACTGCAGCCAATATGCCAGAAGATAGCCTCTTGGCATTTTTTTTTTGAGACAGGGTCTGGCTCAGTCACCTAGGCTGCAGTGCTATGGCACAATCTCAACTCACTGCAACCTCTGCCTCTTTCAAGCGATTCTCCCACCTCAGCCTCCTGAGTAGCTGGGATTACAGGTATCCACCACCACACCTGGCTTTTTTTTTTTTTTTTTTTTTTGGGAGAGACAGAGTTTTGCCATGTTGCCCATGCTGGCCTCAAACTCCTGAGCTCAAGCAATCTTCCTGCACTGGCCTCCCAAAGGGCTGGGATTACAGGCATAAGCCACCATGCCTGGCCATTTCTTTATTTTTATTTTTATTGTTTTTTAGACAGAGTTTCACTCTTGTTGCCCAGGCTGGAGTGCAGTGGCGTGATCTCGACTCACTGCAACCTACACCTCCTGGGTTTAAGTGATTCTTCTGCCTCAGCCTCCCGAGCAGCTGGGATTACAGGCACATGCTACCATGTCCAACTAATTTTTGTATTTTTAGTAGAGACGGGGTTTCACCGTGTTGGCCAAGCTGGTCTCAAACTCCTGACCTCAGGTGATCCGCCCACCTCGGCTTCCCAAAGTGCTGGGATTACAGGTGTAAGCCAATGCACCCAGCCAATTTTTTTTTTCAGTGGCGGAGTCTTATTCTGTTGCGAGGCTGGAATGCAGTGGCGCGATCTCGGCTCACTGCAACCTCTGCCTCCCAGGTTTAAGCGATTCTCCCACCTCCACCTGAGTAACTGGGACCACAGTCGTGCACCGCCACACGGCCAGCTAATATTTGTATTTTTTAGTAGAGATGGGGTTTCGCCATGTTGGTCAGGCTGGTCTCAAATTCCTGGCCTCAAGTGATCCACCTGCCTTGGCCTCCCAAAGTGCTGGGATTACAGGCATGAGTCACTGCATCCAGGCTTTCTTCTTTTAAACTTTCATTACGTATTCATGTACTTCTTGTTTCCCCCAGGTTTATGAAGGTATAACTGACATTTAAATGTAGGCAATCGTAGCGCACACCGTGATGTTTCTATATGTGCCTACACTTGTGTGCTTTATTTCTTCACAGCAGGCTGAGACGTGTAAGCTCAGAAGCAAAACTTTTACACATCTAAATCTTTAAGAAGTAACCCAAACAAGGAAATCTGTAGTGTTTAGAGCCCGCCTGCTTTGTGTACCTGGTGAAGCCTCACTGACACTGTTACCTCTTGCTAAATTGCAGCCCTGCAGTGGGAAGGCCTCAGCCACTGCTGCCTGCCGGTCAGTGTCAGCAGACACGAGGCACCTCTCCCCAGTCGCTGCAGGCCCACCTTCCCTCCCAGACGAGGTCGTGCAATCCCACAGGCGATCATCGACTCTTCTCTGGGGGCCACCTTGATCCCGGGGATGGGGTTGGAACTGGCTGTGTGTACCTCTTCCCAACTCCACATTCTGGGATGTTCTATTGGGGTTTCAGGGCAGCCAGGGTGGAGGCACAGACACCTCAGAACGAGGCAAGTCCACCCGAGACACGGCCCCCAGCGCAGCACTGCCCAGGACTGCCACGAAGGGCAGCAAGCCCCAAGCCACAGATGTTGTTTCCTGGCCTGCAGGTGTCTGAAGAAACGCAAGGCCACACCCAACGCAGCCACTGCTGGCCTCTGGCTGAGGAAGCCCTGAGAGTGGCTCGCAGGCCCCACGCTCCCTGGCCGGACCCAATAACAGAGTCTGTGCCCCCAACCCCAGCATGGCCAGCTGAATCCTTTCCTGTCTCACGAACACACACATAAGGCAAGCGGGGCTCCCGACACAGTCTGAATCTCCAGTTCCCAGAACACCGTCTCCCGTCCCATGCACTGTGCTGGGATTTAAGAGACTCACTGAAGACAGGCACTGCGTGCTCCTAAGGGTGCAGCCTCTTAACTCTGCTGCATGTGGCGCTTACGCTCGAGCCCAGCACGCGGCTGTGCTCCTTACCCCCCTCGTAGTAGTGCTGTGTGGACTCCTCGAATGACCGGTCGTAGCTCTGCTCCGTGTAGGATGACTGCTGGTAGGCATAATCGCCGTGGCCTGTGTGAAACGGAGACGGCGACAGTCAGCAGAAGCTGCGCACTGCACAGGTCCCGGAAGAGGCAACTGAGACCCAGGCTGGGGAGATGCTGTTGGGCCAGGGAGGTACCCAGGGCCAGCAGGACCCGTGTCCCCCCAGACCATGCCCCAACCTCCTGAGCCTCGGCCTCCTCACTGAAACACAGACATGAATGCCTCCTTCTCGGGGCGACTGTGAAGCTACCTGGGGATTTATGCAGAGGATCAGCGCTCTCAGTGCCCACCACACGGCCATGCTAGTGACCCGACCGCCCTCTCCTCCCCGCTGCTAGCTCCTGGGAGGACGCAGACAGGGGTGTCCAACCCTCACCGAGGCCTTCGTTGCAAGGTGGCTTGCCCTGCTGCCACCTGCCCACCTGCCTGCGCACCTGCCCCTTGCTGGCTGAGGCCAGCTCCCTGCCTGGATGCCTCCCAGGGATCAACCCAGCCTTTAAGACCACTTTATTTTATTGTTATTTTCACTTTAGAGACAGGGTCTTGCTCTGTCACCAAGGCCGGCGTGCAGTGGCGCAATCATGGCTCAATGCAGCTTCTGCCTCCTGGGCCGAAGCGATCCTCCTGCCTCAGCCTCCCAAAGTGCCAGAATGACAGGTGTGAACCACTGTGCTCACCAAGCCACTTTCAGCATCCCCTCCACAAGCCCTGGGCTATGGAAAGGCTGAAAGGCGACGAAGGTAAAATGCAGAGATGAGAAGGGGCAGGAGGGGGTGCTGCAGGTGGAGCCGTCACCTTCAGGGCATTCTCTGGGAAGCCGGGAGGCTTCTTCTTGAACATTTCCACCTATCTACGGCTGGGGGCTGCAACTCTCCGCCTCCAACTCCCACATCCTTTCAGGAAGAGGAGGCGAGGCCGCGTGGAGGCGAGTGCAGTGGTGTGTGCCTCAGCTTCTCTCTGCAGAGGCCAGGCACCCCGCCAGTCCAGCTCACCCCGTCCCCTGCCTCGCTCCTGCAGGGCATCTGGCCGCTCTGCCTGTAGCCCAAGCCTGAGCTGGAACGACTGGGGACGCACTGCAGTGGCCACACCCTCCTTGCCCTCCTCGCCCCTGCAGCTGCTCTGCTGTCCTGGGCGGGGTCAGGCTGCCGCCAGTGCTCACCGTCGGGGTAGTACTGCTGGCCCATGGGCTCTGCGGCGCCCTGGCTGTGGCTGTACTGCTCGCCATAGTACTCCTCCTGGCCCAGGTACTGCTGGGAAGAGCCTGCAGGGGAACCACATTCAGCACCAGTGCGGGCCGCACCCTCCTCCCTTGGAGGACCTCCTCGCTCGCTGGGGAAGCCAAGGCCTCGCTAAGCGGCCTCACCCACCCCAGGAGAACACCCCACGCTGTCACCGTATCCAACTTATTTTTTGTATTTTTAGTAGAGACAAGGTTTCACCATGTGGCCAGGTTGGTCTCGAACACCTGGCCTCAGGTGATCTGCCCACCTCGGCCTCTCAAAGTGCTGGAACTACAGGCATGAGCCCGGCCTGTGACACTCTTAATGACAACTGCCGCCCCTGCCCCCAACCCTGACTCCTCGGGGACAGCAGACCCTCCGCGGGCCACACCCCAGCCCGCACCCCCAGTGTCCACACCAAGGCCCCAAGCCTCACTCCCCCAGGCTCCCCACAGACAAGCACACAGCCTGGCACTTCACCACCCGGGGCGGTCAGCCGTGCCCGAGACCTGGCCTGGCCGGGCGTTACCTTGCTGGGAGGGCCGGTAGGGCGCCATAGGCCGCTGCCCCATCATGCTGCTCCCCTGGCTGCCCTGCCCCATCATGGCGATGGACGACTGGCCCTGGTAGTGCTGGCTGCCGCCCTGAGCCGAGCTGTAGTGCGACGTGGCCGCCTGCTGCTGCATCATGGAGACTGCACGACAGGACAGAGGCCCCACATCACCCCGGGAAGCCTCCCTCCCTCCCTCCCACACCCAACTACCTCCTGCGCCCAGGCAGGTTCCTCGTTATTTTCCTGTGCTCCGCACGAGAACGCCACCCTCCCCTGAAAGGCCTGCACTGACGCCCTGCATGCTCAGACCCGCTGCTTACACCGACTATTTGAAAATGTGCCGACGTGCAGAAAACAGGGAGAGCCCCTGGGCAGGAAGATCCAGTGGCTTCCACAGCCAACCACCACCTTTCCACCTCTCCTCGGACACACAGCTCCCGTGACAACCCCACTTGCGCCGTGGCTCGAGTCCTGTTCTCCCCAGTCCCTTGAGCTGGCCTCAGGGGTCACACTGTCCCCTCCCTAGTCCTGTTCTCCCTGGTCCCTTGAGCTGGCCTCAGGGGTCATACTGTCCCCTCCCTAGTCCTGTTCTCCCTGGTCCCTTGAGCTGGCCTCAGGGGTCACACTGTCCCCTCCCTAGTCCTGTTCTCCCTGGTCCCTTGAGCTGGCCTCAGGGATCACACTGTCCCCTCGTTAGCACCTGTGCAACCTCGCGGCCCTTCACGCTGGCCTGTCGTACACGTCCCCTGCTCAGAAGCCCCTAGCGGAGCGCCATCCAACAGAAATGACACGAGCCACACTTTTTAAAGTTTCTAGTAACCACATCAAAAAAGTAAAAACAAACAGGTGAAATCCATTTTAATCGTGCATTTTATTTGAGTCAGTATGTCCAAGACAAACGCTTAATACTCAGTTATTGTGAGAAAATCCTAAGGAGGTCCTCGGCACCCTTTTTTGGCAGTAAGCCTCTGAAGTCCATGTGTCTCCAACACTCAAGAAACTCAACCAGGACCGACGCCCACGAAACGCGACCGGGGCCGATGCTCATGGAACGTGATGGGGACCTGCTGCTTCTCAACTGCCCAACACCACACGTGGCCACCATGGCGGATGGCCCCACTCTCGGGCTCCTGCTGCCCTGCAGAAAGGCTGGGGCCTCTGGCCCAGCGCTTCTGGCCCCTTGTCTTCTCCACTGAGGTGCCTCTAGCCAGGCTGTTCCCTCCCTGGGGAACAACTCTACCCCCACCTCTGAGAGCCCAGTGCTCTGTCCAGACCCAAGGCCAGTGGCCCCCGCTCCCTGAAGCATTCCCTGAGACTCCATGGGAAACACCCCAACCCTTCGCAAAGCTGGGGGACAGGAGGGGTTGGCTGTGCACCCACTGGTGCCCATCCCTCCGGAAGCTCTCAGAGGCGGCGGCCAGCCCTGATTCACGGGCCCCTCTCCCGCAGCACCCAGCAAGAGGGCAGCTCCCCAGGGACACATATCCAACATGCATGTGTCAAGGGTCTTGGAGGCAGGCCCAGGCCCCCCGGGGTTGCAGAGGCAGAGGAGGTACCTGGGTTGGACTGCATGTTGATGTTGGTCCGAGACACGTAGTTGCCGATGGTGCCTTGCCCCTGCATGGGGACGCCCTGTGAGGCGGGCCCCGCGTGGCTGTAGCCAGGCCCCGAGATGCTCATGGAGGTGGTGGGTAGCGTGTTAGGCGCCGTCTGCTGCATGGACACATGGCTCGGCCCTGGCAGGGGGAGCAGGGAGTGGTGTCAGGCGCTGGGGAGCCAGGTCACCACTTCTGAAGGTGAAGATGCCCCAATTTCCCTTCAAATGATTTTGGGAAGAGATTCTATCAACATCACTATTAATGATTAAGTGACTAAAAAAGAAATAAGTGGCCTGGTGCAGTGGCTCATGCCTGAAATCCCAGCAGTCTGGGAGGCTGAGGTGGGTGGATCACCTGAGGTCAAGAGTTCGAAACCAGCCTGGACAACATGGTGAAACCCCGTCTCTACTGAAAATACAAAAAAATTAGCCAGGTGTGGTGGCAGGTGCCTATAATTCCAGCTACTCAGGAGGCTGAGGCAGGAGAATTGCTTTAACCCAGAAGGCGAAGGTTGCAGACAGCCAAGATCATGCCCATTGCACTCTAGCCTGGCCGACTAGAGCGAGACTCTGTCTCAAAACAAAAAAAAAAAAAAAAAGAAAGAAAAAAAAGCAGCATACATGCTAGCAATGTACAGCATGCACTGTTTATTTGTTGTTATTTTGTTATTTTCTGAGACAGGGTCCGGCTCTGTCACCCAGGCTGCAGGGCAGTGGCATGAACACGGCTCACTTCAGCCTCACCCTCCCAAGCTCAAGTGACTCCCCCTCCTCAGCCTCCCAAGTATTAAGCAGTTTGGACCACGCGTGGGCACCATCACACCCAGCTAATATTTTTATTTTTTACAGAGACGAGGTTTTGCCATATTGCCCAGGCTGGTCTCAAATTCCTGGCCTCAAGCAATCTGCTGGTTTAGGACTTACAGAGGGTTGGGATTAAAGGTCTGAGCCACCATGCCCGGCCTGTTATATTACTATTAATAGTCTCCAAACGTTACTCATGCTTCTTAATTCAAAGACAGGAGCATTCCATTGTTATTACACAATCCACCTGGAACCTGGCAACTTGCATTTGAAATGAATGGAGTATGACAGTGTCAGAAAGAGCAGGCGATCTGGAGCAAGGGCTCATCCCAGCCACATGGCAAGCTCGCTGCGGCCCTGAGCCTGGGCGATGGCAGCTGACCTGTGGCTACCCCAGGAAGAGTGGGTCCCCATGCCCAGCCCTGTGACGGGTGGGGTGCCCCACCATGGCAGCTGCCTGCCCAAGGGCTGCCTTGGTGGCCTTGTGACCAGGAATGCCCTCCTCCCCCGCCGCACTCACCGTTGCCAATCTGGCCCTGCAGGAGGGAGGAGGGTGGCAGGCCCGTGCTGATGGCGTCACTCAGGCTGCCCTGGGAGTGCAGGCCCTGGCTGGAGCCACTCTGAGTCAGGGCTCCAGGGCCCAGGTTCATGTTCTGCGTGGGCGGCTGCAGGCAACAGGAAGTTTCCAGGGAAAACGGTTAATTCACGGAGAGCGACCTCCACAAGCCAGGCCAGGGATGAGAGGGCGCCTGAGATGTGCTGCCACATGTCATGGCCACCTGGTCCATGTTCGTAATCAACAGCCATTGTCACAGCCAGGTGACCGCAGAGCACCAGGCCCAACAGCCAGGTGACCTCCGAGCACCAGGCCCAGACGGAGACGGCATAGTGAGTGTCTGGGTGAGCGTTCGGAACTCTGCTAGTATCGAGTTCATCCACACATGCCTGGGTTTGAAAAGCTGGACCTCCTTCTCCTGGGACAGCAGGGAACCCCTTCCCCTGTCCAACCCAATGCACCCTGTCCTTCTCAGGCGCAGCTGGCCGGCGCCTCTGTGCTCCCCGTCCACGACCCCTCCAAGCCAAGGGCCTTGGCACAGGCGGGATCCCTCTCCTGTTTCCCGTGCTCCTGCTGCGTGTGCCCCGTCCCCTCACTCCCCCCACCCCATGCCCACCTTGGATCACACCACACGGAAGGGAGTGTGCAGTGACCCTCAGCACTCTCCCAGATCAAGGTCAAACAGCAGCTCTGGAGGTATGCACACACACGCTGTCTACAGCTGGCCAAAAAAAGGAAATTTCCACCAGGACCTGCGGGTGTCTGCAGGGTGAAGAACTGCAATGTGACAGGTCAATGGAGGTGGGTTTAACATTTTTACTCACGAAATGCATCCTGGCATTTACATCATCGCTTGCCGAGGACTAAGGGTCGCTAGGAGATACGGCACTCCCGGTGACAATTTAATTTTGGAAAAATGCATTTTTAAAAAATCAAACAAAATAAAATATTTGAACTATCATTGGGAGAATTTACTGTGCTGGGCACGTTTTCTTTTAAGTTCTGTTTTCACCCACAGCAGCGCATGTGCATGGTTCACAACTGCTCAAAGCATCCGGAGAGGTTCCAGGGAGACGCAGGGGCCCCCATCCCATCTCTCCCCACCCCCGACCCGAGAGCTGCGGCTGTTCCTACAGTGGTTCTTCCGGGACTTCCCTCCCTTCAATACATACAGAGGCTGAACCACAGTTCCGACCCGGCCACCTCAGACGCCGTCGTTACCCCCAGTCTGTCAGGAAGGGTTGGTCACCACCGCCCACACTCCCATTTCTGGTGACTCTAGTGGTATTTTTGGTTTCTCTGAGTCATCTCTGTTACCTGAGGTGACATGCCCACAACTCCCGATTTTAGGCAGTGTCGGGGTCCTTGCTGGGTAAAGGGGGCCACCCCAGCGGGTACTCACGGCAGGAAGCAGGGACTGCATGTTCTGGTTGGAGTCTGCGATCGTGGCCAGGTACACCAGGTTCCGGTGCAGGATTTGCTGGTACCTGCAAGAGACGGGCATGCGTGAGGCAGGAGGACGGGACCACGGAGTCCCCAGGTGGATCCAAGGCAGAAGTAAAGTGTGAACACCACAGTCTGACAACCAACCAAACCTCATGAGGACACGGACTCCAGACGACATCCAGGGACAGGCCAGCTGGTTGCCCAGCTGGACACAGGCAGGTGGCGGGGTGCTGGGGTCTAGGTGGGGACGGCAGGGCAGCCTCTACCCCAAACCCTGAGCAGGCTCCCATCCCACACCAAAACCTCTGGAAAGACTCTAAGGCAGCAGCTAACGGGGAGCTGGCACTGGTCTGCTCAGAGAATGGAAATGGGGGAGGCCACGAGGAGGCAGGGGCCTGAAGGTGACAGAGGGACAGAGCCCTTGTCCAGCTGAACCAGGCAGTGGGCAGACTCCATAGAGTCAGCGACCCTGAGAAAGCCCTGGAAAGAAATGGGGAAGCACAGTTCTGCCAGGGAAGGCCCCTCGTACACCTCACACCAGTGGGGCCCCAGTCCCCTCACCCCACTCACACCCAGGGGTGTCTGAGGCCATTCACCTACTTCCCGCCTCCAGGTCAGCCTGATGGCCACTCGGACAGCCGCTTGGAGGGTGGCAGACTGGCCATATACCCCTCCTCTGTGTCAGGCCCTAGGGTCACAGGAGGTCCCACCTGGAGGAGGTGCTGTCTCCCGGCCGTAGAGCTGCCCACAGAGGCTGGCCCGGGCCTCCCCACACTGCTCTTTCCTCCCGCCTCCCTCGGAACTACCCCAGTTCTGGCAGCAACGCTTCGCAGCTGTGCTGGGGCCTCTTGGGACGTATCTGACCTCCGCACCGGGGGGCTCTGGGGACGTATCTGACCTCCGCACCGGGGGGCTCTGGGGACGTATCTGACCTCCGCACCGGGGGGCTCTGGGGACGTATCTGACCTCCGTGCTGGGGACTCTCGGGACGTATCTGGCCTCCATGCTGGGGGACTCTCGGGACGTATCTGGCCTCCATGCTGGGGGGCTCTCGGGACGTATCCGGCCTCCGTGCTGGGGGCTCTGGGGACTTATCTCTGGGACTATCTGGCCTCCGTGCTGGGGACTCTCGGGACGTATCTGGCCTCCATGCTGGGGGGCTCTCGGGACGTACTGGCCTCCGTGCTGGGGGGCTCTCGGGACGTATCTGGCCTCCGTGCTGGGGACTCTCGGGACGTATCTGGCCTCCATGCTGGGGGGCTCTCGGGACTTATCTGGCCTCCATGCTGGGGACTCTCGGGACGTATCTGGCCTGTGGGGGCTCTCGGGACTTATCTGGCCTCCATGCTGGGGCTCTCGGGCTATCTGGCCTCCATGCTGGGGACTCTCGGGACGTATCTGGCCTCCATGCTGGGGGGCTCTCGGGACGTATCTGGCCTCCGTGCTGGGGACTCTCGGGACTTATCTGGCCTCCATGCTGGGGACTCTCGGGACGTATCTGACCTCCGCACTGGGGAACTCTCGGGACATATCTGACCTGCGCACTGGGGGGCTCTCGGGACATATCTGGCCTCCATGCTTAGAGTCTGCATGACCCCCAGAGTGTTCCGCGGACGGCGGGCGGCACTCACTGCGTGCACTCGGCTGTCTTGCCCTTGCTCTGGTACTCCAGGATGCACTGGATCAGGTGGTGGTTCTCGTCCAGCATCTGCGGAGAGAGCGTGAGCGGGCGCTGCCGACGCGGGGCTGCCGCTGGCCCTCGGGATGAACCGCCACCGCTACGCATCTAGTTTTCATATAGGCTGAGTGGCCCTTACGTGAAACGTGTCACATTTCAGATTTTTCCAGATTTGGAGGTATCTGTTTTAGACCCACCGGTTTGGCATCCCAAATCCGAGAACCTGAAATGCTCCGATGAGCGTTTCCTTTGAGCCTCATGTTGGCGCTCAAAAAGTTCTAGATTTTGGAGCACTTCAAATTTCCAGATCTGGGATGCTACGCCCGTTCTGTACATGAAGCTGTCGTTCCATGCATGGCCTCAGCCACCACAGACCACTCACTCACACATCCCTGTACTAAGGACTTCGCCAGTAAGCGGCAGGGCCATCTCAGCCCACAGATGAAAACATGGAGGCCCCATGCCTCCAGCAGCCCCCACCCTGAAGGACCCTCCAGCTTCCAGGGCCCTTGACTGCAGAGCATCTGTGCAGCAAGGGTCAGCCAAGTCGACAGCAAGGATGTCAGGACCCCGTGGGCACCCCACAAGAGGCCCTGGAGCCCCCAGCTGGAGGGGACAGCCTCAAATCACAACCACACAGGGTGGGACACAGGTAGCTGCCCCCCTCAGGATCAGCAGGGGTCCAGGGCACTCCTAGGTGGGGGGCATCAAGACTTCCTGCAGGGGCTGCCACCAACCGCAGTGGGGGAGGGAAGGAAAGGGTCTGGAAGGGGCAGGGACAGCACTACGGGTAGAAGAAACCACACACAACACAGGCCGGTGTGGGGGCAGGAAAGGTGGGTGAGACTGCGGAACCGGGCATGACCTGGACCTGGGGCTGGCGACCCGCAGCCCTCACCCCTGGAGTGCTGAAACGCAGCAGAACAGCAGGACGGGCCCACAGGCCACACAGGGAAGGCCAGTCCCGTCTTGAACCTTCTGTATCTTACACATAAAGTGTGTGTGCACAGACAGGGTCATGACTCCAAACCCAGATTAAACCAGTCTCAAGTGACTCAGGTGAACGGCCAGATGTGGGCCTCCCAGAGCTGGGCCGGGGTCTCTGTGCAGGCACCACGTGCTCCTAGAACCGGCAAAATGGAGGCTTCTGGTTCAGGGACAGCCAGGCACACACTCTGCCAAGCACGCTCCACGTTCAAGATGGGCACTGCCAGGAACCTGTCAGATGCAGGGGCTCAGCCTGTCTGTGACCTGGTGACCCGTGTGCCTGGCCGCACCTGAGCAGCAAGGGGCTGGGCCCACAGATTCCCCAGGTTTCCTTCCCAAAGGGCCTCCCGAACGTGCTCGTGTGGCCCCAGGGGGTTCTGGAGCACTCCCAAATCAAGCGGCCCAAGGCCTTGTGTCCACACACCTGCACGTGCTCAGGATGTGCTGAGTCTGGTGGTTGGGAGGAGTGGGGAGGGGTGGGTGGCAGCAGAGGAACAGGGACTGGGGCCAGGCGGCATCCTGCACACACCACACAGGATGCCCACGGGCCATGGGGAGCAGGCACAAAAGAGCCGGCTCTTCCAAGGTGTCCACCTGGGGGCAGCACTGGGTGGCCCATGGAGACCCAACAGGAGGTGAAAGAGGAGAGAGGGGGCGTGGGAGGAGACTGAAAAGAGGGGACACCCGCCCTGTGACCAGCCGCCTCCACCTGCAGGGAAGCACAGGACTGAGCCCACCACACCTGCTGCTTTCCATAAAAAGGCCTTTGCTCAGAGGCTAGCACGCAAGGAAGAAGCCGTGCCTTTTCGCTCCACCACAGCGTGCTGGGTCATCTCAGCCCTGTGAGGCTGCTCCCAGCAGGAGCTCAACAGGCCCTGGAGCAGGGGACCCCTAGGGCAAGGGGAGGAGGAGCTCACCTGCCTGCCTGGGGACCTGGGGCCACCCAGCTGTGCCTCCACCCTGCCACGTGGCCCCTTTAACTGCAGTCTGACCCCTTGGGGCCCAAACCCATCCACAGGCAGAGGGAGTCCAGGGCGGAGAGAGCCCAGCCAGGCCACCTAGCAGAGCAGAGCCCGGGCCCACAGCCCCAGCTAAGTGACTGCCCTCGACTCAGCTTCCTCCTCCGCCCGTCTCCACAACTTCAGAGTTGGTTTATCCTGCTCTATTTTTTCTTTAAGTTATACCTTCCCCCTTTCCACTCTTTATCACTTTTCTCCCTGCTGGGGACAAGGTGGCCTGCACTCAGCTGAGCCCAATGGGGCCGAGGAGCCGTCCTGAGACAGGGGCGCCGCCAGGGGGCGCTGCGGGCCAGGCTTACCTGTGGGCAGATGAGGGTGAGTTCACCTGCCAGGCACTGGCATTCCAGATGGCTCTGCCTCCAGATGAACTGAAGGAAGGGGACAACTATGGGCTTTCTTGCTTTCCCTTTAAGTGCTTCCCCTTCTCGACTCCTAACCCCCAGGCAGAGATTGCCTCCAGAGACACGAACTAGACACGGCCGGCGTTTCAGCATCACTCCCAGCACGGGGCCGGGATGGGCCGGGGGGGCACAAGCCGCCGACTTCATTAAGCAGAGCCCCGCGGTTGTGCACTGGCCAGGGCAGTGCCGCGGAGTTTATGCACGCACAACAAAACACAGTACTGGTGTGCGTTTTTAAAAAACTGGATACAGAGAACTTTCTCACATATGTTACACACATACCTATTTCTAAAAGGGCAGGACAGGTGGAACAAAAGGTGGCAGACTGGACGCCCCAAGCCCCACGCCCCGGCCGGCAACTGAGGATGGAACAGGTATGGCCTTCTACGGACAGAAAGGGGAGGGCACAAGACGGCAGCCACAGGAGTTTGAAGCTGAAGAGCACATGGACGAGTGATAACCAGATCAGTGCCCCCAGGGCGCCTGGCCTGAGCCACACTGTGCTGCGAAGCCCCACAAGGCTCAGGAATGTTAAGATTCCGGCACCTTTCAGGGTCGTCCAGGATCTGCTGGTAGGAGATGGGACTGGATGAGTGGGGGGTCTCCAGGAAAGTGACCAGCCTGGAGGAAAGACACTGGGCACTGAAGGGAATGTGCACCTCAGAGCGAACCACAGACCGACCACACGCCTGCCTGAGCACAGCAGGCGGCGCTCCGGCCTCCAATCCCCAGAAGCCACAACAGTGCCATTTGAAAGACAAAGGCTAAAACCAGCCACAGAGGCCAAAATCCAGAGACGAAGGTTATGCAAGACGGAAACTTTTTTCTATTGCTTTTCTTCTGAGACAGGGTCTCGCTCTGTCACCCAGGCTGGAATACAGTGGCGTGATCTTGGCTCCCTGCAACCTCCACCTCCCAGGCTCAAGTGATCCTCCTACCTCAGCCTCCCGAGTAGCTGGGAATACAGGTGTGTGCCACCATGCCTGGCTAAATGCTTTTTTTTTTTTTTCTTTTTGGGGTAGAGACAGGGTCTCCCTGTGTTGCCTCAGGCTGGTCTCGAACTCCTAGGTTCAAGTGATCCACCCGCCTTGGCCTCCCCAAGTGCATGAACCATTGTGCCCGGCCTGAAATTTTTTTAAAAAAATCCAACAAAACCTATTATTAATATCCTCACGAAGACAGCTGGTGCAGTGATGCAGGTTACTGGAGCCTCACAAAAGATGATGCTGGTTAGAAACAACAGAGGGCAGAGCTCTGGAGGTGAAAACCTGTTAGCCATAACACAGCTCAACAGAGGAGCAGAATATGAAGTTGAAGAAGAGTCCCGAAAAGCAGGACGGATTGACCGAGGAGAAAACAGAAAGATTGCGAAGAGAGGAGTGGACCAGCGCGGCCCTCCAGGAGCCCCAGAGATAGGAGCAGCGAGGAAATCACCCCCCAATCCTTCAATCAGAGCTGAAGGACGCATTTCCCCATCGGAAGGGCTCTCAGGTGACCAGTCTGCCAAAAAAGACCAGGGACAAAGAAAGATCCTAAACATGACAGGAGAGAAAAACCAGGTTCCACGTGAAGGACAGTGAATTCTGAGGGCATGGAGCCTCCTATGTGGGCCCGCAGGGGGTGACAATCCCAAGGAGACTTCCGGAGGAGCTGTGCTCCATACACCCCCTGAGGGGTCATGACCTCGGGGGGGGCTGATGGCCTGGCCTGAGGGAGGCTCTGAGGGAGAGATGAACTCACCACGGAGGCTTCCAGAAGGGCTATGGTCTGATCCTGAGGGAGGCTTCTGCACAGAAATCGTCAGCCGAGACCCCAACCAGGAATGAAGGGAGAACAGACGCACTTTCAGACCCGCAAGTTAGGAAAACGTACCCTGTACCCAAACCAAGGGCACTCGATGACTGGCTGGCATTCTTCGAAAACTGCCAGTCATCAAAGATAAGGAAGATGGACGAGTGGTTCTCAACCAGGAGATACTCAACAGACATGGTCCCGGGGTCCTTCCAATAATCCTTAAGGATGTTCTACAAAGGCCATTACCGGGACAACAGGGAAGTCAGAGTGAGTCGGAGCAGACGGCCGCGCTGCTGCCACATCAGCTCCCCCATTTCAATCTTTGTACAGTATCATGTCCATGTTGGCAGCAAAGTCACGCTCAAGTATTTGGGAGTAAAGGGGCACCAAGTCTACAACTCATTCTCAAATTGTCAGGGCAAAAGTAACGTGTCCACAGGACAGAAGAGGGAGGGGACAGCAAATGAGGGGGCGTTAACATGCGGGCAGTCAGATGAGGGGAGTACGGGAATTCTGTTTAAAGGGGCACATCCCAAACACCTGTTCTCAGGAGGCCATAAAATGATGCGCCTCCCTCCCAAAACCAAGGGAGCAAATCCCAGGAGAAGATCCAAGACCCAACCCAAGAGAAGCTAAAGGAATTTGGCCAACGGTGGGAGGCCCACGGAGAGCAGCCCCGAGACTGAAACCCAGAATACCTGAGCAAAGGAGGAGATACACTAGTGACAAGTGATCAAAAAGGAAAACAATCAACAACTCCAGGGAAAACAAAAGC